TGCGCCAGGAGTGGCATAAAGTCACCAAACATCAATGCCAAGACGCATGAAAGCTGTGATTGAAAATCAGGGTTATTCCACCAAATATTGATTTCTGAACTCTTCCTAAGTTAAAACATTACTATTGTGTTGTTTAAAAATGAACATGAACTTATTTTCTTTGCATTATTCGAGATCTGACAACACTGCATATTTTTTGTTATTTTGACCAGTTGTCATTTTCTGCAAATAAATGCTCTAAATGACAATATTTTTATTTGGAATTTGGGAGAAATGTTGTCAGTAGTTTATAGAATAAAACAAACATGTTATTTTTACCCAAAAACATTCCTATAAATAGTAAAACCAGAGAAACTGATAATTTTGCAGTCGTCTCTTAATTTTTTCCGCAGCTGTATTTAATAAGTCATACTTGGTGGCTAGCCGCCTTAACAATGTTCTGTTAGCTTTACGTTGAGGCTTGGCCCCAACTGGCCCCAATACTATTTTGGGGGGCGGCAGCCTCAGCCATGGAAGCACAAAAGTCTGACTCATCAATCATGAATTGACATATATTTATAGAAAATACTGGTCAGTTTTCAATTCATTCATTTAATTTTTATTCACTTCCTGAATCGTCTGAATATATATATATTTTTTATGGCCCTAACTCGGGTTTTCAGAAGCTGTAACCATGAGACGCTAATACTGGAGACTACTGGGACAAGAGGTCTATCCCACAGATAAAAGGGGTTGGTTATGAATATCTTTGTCTGTACTGTGGCACTGGTACATAGGTTTGGGAAGACTGGGTTGGGGAAGGGTGTGATATAGAGATGTGCTTCCCTCTGGTGGAGAAGGACAGAACACACTAGGTTTGCATTGTTATGATTATGAAACAGGCGTTTCATACTTTCATTACGACAGAATGGCAGATTCACAATGGAAAAAAATCTCTAACATCTGCAGCAGGAAAACAATGTTTCCTTTTTACCTTTAAAGTAACATATTTCCAACCGGTAGAGAGACCATCTAGAAGTCTCAGTTGCAACCATCTCTCCTGTTTACCAGTAGGGTGTGCTGTTGAGCGGCTATTGAAGAGGTATTTGGTATTAATGTCTATGATTTGAACACGGACGGATCCAAAACGTCAGGCTTCATCCCTTTTGGGTTGTAAAATGATACAATGTGAAGTATTTACAAACAATTAACCAGAATTGATATGACAGAGCAGCAGTTGTGTATTCTACAGATGAGATGAGCACTTTGAAATTGAATTAACCCTTACAAATAAAGATAGCAGTTTTGAAACTCCAGTATTTGCTGCATTAATTTTTTACATTTTAGTCGTTTAGCAGACGCTCTTATCCAGAGCGACTTAAAGTTAATGAGTGCATTTTCAGGCTCCAGTTGCAGGTGCGCTGAATCACGCGATGATTCCTCCGTTGTAACCTGTCCTTAAAGTCCTTCACCCTTAAACAACTTCTTCCGAGCAACTTTGAAAATGCTCTGCTCCAGGTGAGGCTCGAACTCACAACCTCGGCATAGCTCTACTGAATACTGCTGTATAAGTACCGCGCGCTAACCGATTGCGCCACTGGAGCTTTGAAGCTGTTGACCAGGAATACGGTTTAAGAATGTCACGTCTTTTCTTTAGGGGAAATGTAGCGTAGGCAGCTGATATTGGGTGATAGATCCGCCCACTATCGATTGCCTAGCCTAGAGGAAATATCGACGTTTTCTGTAATTTTTCCCTTTCTACCATTTTTCAACTTCTAACAACTTGGTAGCTTGCAGCTAATTGTATCGATATATATGACTGACTGGGACGTTAACGTATGTAGTGAACTCACTGCAGAGGGGAGGAATGAGAGAGAAAAACATTACGAAGAGGAGTATACCGAATAAAGAATGCTGGTTCAGAAAAGAGAATAGGTTAGTGGGGAATAAAAGCTTAAAACTATTTTCTAATAATATGTTTGTTCGTTCTTTCTAAATATCTAATTCCCTCTGGAATAACAGGGACCTATGGTGCACCACCGTGAGGCTTGACCTCATTGCTCCCACCCTTGGCCCTTCCTCACGGAGACCAATCATCGCCCCCAGGCCTACCACACACTAAACACACTGTAGAGACAGAGACAGGGTGAATTCTGTTTATTAGGCTACTGTTCATTTACCAGTATGCTGAGGCAAAGATTATTCTTATACCCTATTTTCCCTATTCACCTGTGGTTAAGGGGTTCTTATTGAAATGCCTCTGTGAAAAAGAGGTATTGTATTTTATCCCCACAGTCTGTGTCCCATATTGTGCAGTAGCATTCACTGGCAGGGGGTATGGAGTTTATGTGTGAAAATGAGACTGGAACGGTCTGCCATTAATTCTGTGTTGTTGAAGGCTGTGAGGCAGAATATGAGAAATCAAATACCCAAACCAGAGAACCCAGCCCCCATCCATCATAACAGTCACACACACACATACGCGCACACGCACACCGACCCCTGGCACTAGGAGTGTTGAATTCATTTAAGCTTCAGGCCCTCTGAAGGAAAGGACACAGGGTGATATGGAGGAGGCAAGGAGAGGAAAACGTGTTGTGTTTTTAATCAGCGTATTTCAACACGTGACAGACAGGAACACCAACATAAACAAATCAGGAGGCTGATCAGGAGGTTTGACCTCAGTGGCATGCTACTGCAGGAGACGTCCTAAATAGCCCCCTATTCCTTAGTGTACTAGACGGCTATGGCCAAAAGTAGAGCTGTCATGACAGTCCCAGGTTCTGTTGAGCAAAAAGGACGTGTTCTGCCTAGAACAGGACTAGGTAGAGCATAGAAATAGAATGGCTAGACTGTACAGTGTTGCAATGGGTATAGTAATTAACAACGGCTCAGATGGAGAGGAGCGTATTTCTATGTTGTTGACTCAGAAGTTAGCAGTGTCATGGGACTGTAGGCTACATAATGATGCAGATATCTAGTTAGTGATCCAATCCCTTTAACCATCTAGTTTGCGATCAAACCATCCCTTTAAATCCAGTTGAGCCGATCTGGTTAGTTGATATCAGGTTAGATCTCTCTGACAAACTGAGGAGAGCTCCCGACCACCAGTCACTGACGTGCAGTAGGTAGTACTGAAGAAGAAAAAACATCAAGTTCACACGCTCATACTCTTCTCACACGCACACACTGTTTTCTGTCCCAGGGGAGTTGGATCTGTACAGGTGGGAACCCCTTTCTGTCTGACTCCCCGGCAACGCAGCACATCGCTTCCTGACGAGGTGAATCGTCAGATTCCATAGGCTCCAGAGGTTCACGTTTTTTTTTTTTTTTTTTTTTTTAAAGGGGTGCGATGGGGAGGGCGGGGGCCGAGTGAAACTAGGATTAGGGTCTTGCATGTAGAGCTGAGCATAGGCAGGGGACAGGCATGGGAGGAAGATACAGTGAGGGCAAAAAAGTATTTGATCCCCTGCTGATTTTGTATTTGCCAACTGACAAAGAAATTATCAGTCTATAATTTTAAATGGTAGGTTTATTTGAACAGTGAGAGACAGAATAACAACAACAAAATCCAGAAAAACACATGTCAAAAATGTTATAAATTTATTTGCATTTTAATGAGGGGAATAAGTATTTGACCCCCTCTCAATCAGAAAGATTTCTGGCTCCCAGGTGTCTTTTATACAGGTAACGAGCTGAGATTAGGAGCACACTCTTAAAGGGAGCGCTCCTAATCTCAGCTTGTTACCTGATGAAAGACACCTGTCCACAGAAGCAATCAATCAATCAGATTCCAAACTCTCCACCATGGCCAAGAACAAAGAGCTCTCCAAGGATGTCAGGGACAAGATTGTAGACCTACACAAGGCTGGAATGAGCTACAAGACCATCGCCAAGCAGCTTGATGAGAAGGTGACAAGAGTTGGTGCGATTATTCGCAAATGGAAGAAACACAAAATAACTGTCAATCTCCCTCGGCCTGGGGCTCCATGCAAGATCTCACCTCGTGGAGTTGCAATGATCATGAGAACGGTGAGGAATCAGCCCAGAACTACACAGGAGGCTCTTGTCAATGATCGTAAGGCAGCTGGGACCATAGTCACCAAGAAAACAATTGGTAACACACTACGCCATGAAGGACTGAAATCCTGCAGCGCCCGCAAGGTCCCCCTGCTCAAGAAAGCACATATACATGCCCATCTGAAGTTTGCCAATGAACATCTGAATGATTCAGAGGAGAACTGGGTGAAAGTGTTGTGGTCAGATGAGACCAAAATGGAGCTCTTTGGCATCAACTCAACTCGCCATGTTTGGAGGAGGAGGAATGCTGCCTATGACCCCAAGAACACCATCCCCACCATCAAACATGGAGGTGGAAACATTACGCTTTGGTGGTGTTTTTCTGCTAAGGGGACAGGACAACTTCACCGCATCAAAGGGACGATGGACGGGGCCATGTACCGTCAAATCTTGGGTGAGAACCTCCTTCCCTAAGCCAGGGCATTGAAAATGGGTCGTGGATGGGTATTCCAGCATGACAATGACCCAAAACACACTGCCAAGGCAACAAAGGAGTGGCTCAAGAAGAAGCACATTAAGGTCCTGGAGTGGCCTAGCCAGTCTCCAGACCTTAATCCCATAGAAAATCTGTGGAGGGAGCTGAAGGTTTGAGTTGCCAAACGTCAGCCTCGAAACCTTAATGACTTGGAGAAGATCTGCAAGGAGGAGTGGGACAAAATCCCTCCTGAGATGTGTGCAAACCTGGTGGCCAACTACAAGAAACGTCTGACCTCTGTGATTGCCAACAAGGGTTTTGCCACCAAGTTCTAAGTCATTTTTTGCAGAGGGGTGAAATACTTATTTCCCTCATTAAAATGCAAATCAATTTATAATATTTTTGACATGCGTTTTTCTGGATTTTGTTGTTATTCTTTCTCTCACTGTTCAAATAAACCTACCATTAGAATTATAGACTGATCATTTCTTTGTCAGTGGGCAAACGTACAAAATCAGCAGGGGATCAAATACTTTTTTCCCTCACTGTAGGGTCAGAGGTCAGTCGTGGATGACGATGGGTCCCCTCATCCGGAGGCTGGGGTGGGGGTGTGGAGGGGTGAGGAGCGGCCCCTGCAGTGGTGCCTGGGAGGCCCTGCGCAGGGTGATCTGCTCACAGGGCTGCCGACAGGCGCGTCTCAGCTGGGACCGAGACAGCAGCCGCCTTGCCCTCCTGGAGAGACAGGACACAACATCAGAGGGGAACTCAACAGAACATTAGAACACTGGGATAGACACAGAGAGAATTTAGGAAAGGGCTGTTGTTCCAGGGAGTCGATTACTATTGCAGCAACATCTCTCTCTCTCTCTCTCTCTCTCTCTCTCTCTCTCTCTCTCTCTCTCTCTCTCTCTCTCTCTCTCTCTCTCTCTCTCTCCTCTCTCTCTCTCTCTCTCTCTCTCTCTCTCTGGGTTGTTTATAATTTCTCTGAACAGAAAAACACATCAATTACCTCCAGTACAAGGCTGGGATTTAATTAGGGCAGGTTAATACAGACACTGTGTGTGAGTGTATACCACAGGAGGTTGGTGGCACTTTCATTGGGGAGGACAGGCTCGTGGTAATGGCTGGAGCGGAATTAGTGGAATTGTATCAAATACATCACATGGTTTCCATGTGTTTGATGCCATTCCATGTGCTCCGTTCCAGCCATTATTATGAGCCGTCCTGCCCTCAGCAGCCTCATGTGGTGTGTACGTGCATCTTGTGTTGTTTAGGCCATTGTATTTTAAAGCATCAAGAAAAGAGAGAGGGAGATGGAGAGAGAGATGGGTCCTGAGGGCAGGGCTGTCCTGTGAATGACTGAGTGTTGATTATAAAGAGTCATGATGTTAATAGAGTTTCTCTGCGTGATATAATCCGTAATATTGATCACTCCATTTAGTGAGGCAGGACCAGTCACAGAGTCATGGAAAATGTATGAGTGTGGCACACACAGTCTCTAGTACCTTTTGTTTAATATATTATTTCATAGTCTCGGAAATCCCAGACCTAGGGCAACAGCACTAGGTCTGGGGAACATGGGGGATTTTCTTGGTAATTTCGAAAGGGGCGAAAAAAAATTGGCGGCCTTAAAATCCTCTCTGAAACATGATAGAGGCGGACACAATGCGTACGCAGATAGCTAGGCTAATTTCGTGGTTGTAAGCTTGTAACACTAATGTTAGCTGCCGTGGCGCATGCAAACTACTCACTTGAGAAATACACTCATTGAAAATATTATCCGCGAGCTCCATCTAGCTAGCTACCAATTTTGCATCAGGTGGGGATGTTTACGCCAGGGTACTACAGTGAGGGAAAAAAGTATTTGATCCCCTGCTGATTTTGTACGTTTGCCCACTGACAAAGAAATGATCAGTCTATAATTTTAATGGTAGGTTTATTTGAACAGTGAGAGACAGAATAACAACATAAAAATCCAGAAAAACGCATGTCAAAAATGTTATAAATTGATTTGCATTTTAATGAGGGAAATAAGTATTTGACCCCCTCTCAATCAGAAAGATTTCTGGCTCCCAGGTGTCTTTTATACAGGTAACGAGCTGAGATTAGGAGCACACTCTTAAAGGGAGTGCTCCTAATCTCAGCTTGTTACCTGTATAAAAGACACCTGTCCACAGAAGCAATCAATCAATCAGATTCCAAACTCTCCACCATGGCCAAGACCAAAGAGCTCTCCAAGGATGTCAGGGACAAGATTGTAGACCTACACAAGGCTGGAATGGGCTACAAGACCATCGCCAAGCAGCTTGGTGAGAAGGTGACAACAGTTGGTGCAATTATTAACTCACCTCGTGGAGTTGCAATGATCATGAGAACGGTGAGGAATCAGCCCAGAACTACACGGGAGGATCTTGTCAATGATCTCAAGGCAGCTGGGACCATAGTCACCAAGAAAACAATTGGTAACACACTACGCCGTGAAGGACTGAAATCCTGCAGCGTCCGCAAGGTCCCCCTGCTCAAGAAAGCACATATACATGCCCATCTGAAGTTTGCCAATGAACATCTGAATGATTCAGAGGAGAACTGGGTGAAAGTGTTGTGGTCAGATGAGACCAAAATGGAGCTCTTTGGCATTAACTAAACTCGGCCGTGTTTGGAGGTGGAGGAATGCTGCCTATGACCCCAATAACACCATCCCCACCGTCGAACATGGAGGTGGAAACATTATGCTTTGGTGGTGTTTTTCTGCTAAGGGGACAGGACAACTTCACCGCATCAAAGGGACAATGGACGGGGCCATGTACCGTCAAATCTTGGGTGAGAACCTCCTTCCCTCAGCCAGGGCATTGAAAATGGGTCGTGGATGGGTATTCCAGCATGACAATGACCCAAAACACACAGCCAAGGCAACAAAGGAGTGGCTCAAGAAGAAGCACATTAAGGTCCTGGAGTGGCCTAGCCAGTCTCCAGACCTTAATCCCATAGAAAATCTGTGGAGGGAGCTGAAGGTTCGAGTTGCCAAACGTCAGCCTCAAAACCTTAATGACTTGGAGAAGATCTGCAAAGAGGATTGGGACAAAATCCCTCCTGAGATGTGTGCAATCCTGGTGGCCAACTACAAGAAACGTCTGACCTCTGTGATTGCCAACAAGGGTTTTTCCACCAAGTACTAAGTCATGTTTTGCAGAGGGGTCAAATACTAATTTCCCTCATTAAAATGCAAATCAATTTATAACATTTTTGACATGCGTTTTTCTGGATTTTTTTGTTGTTATTCTGTCTCTCACTGTTCAAATAAACCTACCATTAAAATTATAGACTGATAATTTCTTTGTCAGTGGGCAAACGTACAAAATCAGCAGGGGATCAAATACTTTTTTCCCTCACTGTAACGCATAAGGCTCTGGACGGATTTCCTACCAGTCCATTTCCGGCTATCCCAACCTACTCTTCTACCTGTGCAGGCGTGTATGTCTGAACATTATTAATGGAGACTAATCTCTTTCTGCTTAGAAACACACACACATAGCCGTAGGAAGTAGGTTGGGGGTGGGGGTGCTGCGTTTTAATATTTGTAGATGTATTTATTTATTGTGTTTTCAAGGGGGGAGATATTCTGATTTTTCAGGGGGTCCTCAGCACCCCTACTTCCCGCGTCTATGCTCACACACACCCCCAGCCTGACCTGAGCTCTGATTGGTTCTAATAAAGAATAGAGCATCTCCATCATCTGTCGTTAGTGTCAGTCAGCCAAACATATGAGACTCATTAGCATATTCCATTCCTGTGATTCTGGGAAGATGAAGTCTCCTAACACACACACACACACACACACACACAGTGGGATGATGTAAATGGATGCTCCAGTAATGCAGTAATGATATTTCCGCTGAAACCTGCTCAATCTCAGTTAGTCTAAAATAACCCTTCATCCAGTGAAGAAGGGGGGTGATGCGGGTGGCAATGGTTCATGGACACTGAGTGTGTGTATGTTAGTGTGTGTGTGTGTAGGTGTGTGTGTGTGTGTGTGTGTGTGTATGTTAGTGTGTGTGTGAGTGCATTATCAAGTTGACTGGACTGTACGCTGCACAAGTGAGAAACAGACTCCACAGGTAACCCAGGTCACGTGTGTGTGTGTGTGTGCTTGTATGTGCGTGTGAGTGTGCATGTGTGTGTGTGCGGGGTGGGGGGCTTACCGTGAGCAGTTGTGTAACGGCTGCAGCACTGAAATGAGACAAGCAGCCAGTCACTGACAAGAAGGGAAACACACGCCGACCCACGATGCAACAGGGCACAAGAGGTCAGGGGTCAGGACCTGTATTCCCAAAGAGTCTCAGAGTAGGAGTGCTAATACAGGATTTTATGTAACTGATCGTGGATCAGCACTTCTACTCGGAGACACTTTTTGAATACAGGCCAAGGTGTGCGCACATTAAGAGGCATTAAATCATGTGAGTGTGATGTGTTTTGTATGAGATTAGAATATTTGGTTACCTCTGGAGTCCCATTCGTCAGCTTGGCAGTGGCCTCAGTCTCAGCCCTGTTTACAACCCTACAGTTGTCTCCTTGTTAGTCCCCTATAAAATATCTTCAACTAACGATCCACTAACCCTTACCCTAGCAAGTTGTTGAATAGCAAAACTATATCTAAAGACCAATTAGGCCCAGTTTGCTCACTCAACTCTTGATGGATCTCAACCCACAGCAGTGACCTGTTTATTAATTACATTTCTACGCCCTGATCTCTGGTATTCTATTTCTGTGCTTGGTGAGTCATGGTTGTCGAAGCTTGTTAGGACACAGCTGCTTCAGCCCAATCAGCTGTCAGTCCCCGGCATAATAAGCCGTCACTCTCCAATCACACACAAGACGGTCTCACGCATCATCAGGCCAGCTGCCGATCAAAGGCCACCCCTACCTGGTCTCCCGGGAGACAAAGAAGAAGCTATCATCGGGGGCATCAATCAAGTTTGGGCGTCTCTTCCTAATCATGACTCCGCCCCTAGCACTGCCCCTGGTCCCCCCGCCTCCACTGCTACGGCCGTTCTGCTGGGAAGAGCCAATCACAAACAATTACTCCAGAACGAGACAGTCAAATACAAGCACCTCATAATCCTCCAATAAAAAAACAACTGCCATGCTTAATGATGTAATATTGTGGAGTCAACCTTAAATGTCTGTGTTTGAAGTCTATGGTAGAGTTGCTGCCCGACTACATTGCAGACGTTGTATTGCATCATCAGCCAATGGTTGTGTGCCACGTCATCGACTGGAGCAGCAATCGGGCAGATTGGTATATCATATGATGTGATTAGCTGATATGTTAAACACCTATCCAGCCGATTTGAGACCTATCATGCATCTGCAATGTAGTCAAGCAGGAACACCACCTATTTAAAGTCCTGTGTTTAGTAAAAGAGAAACTGTTACTCACCACTGGTACCGTTGTCTGGCCTGGGTTTTCTACAGAAGGACAAGGAGACAACATGATAGAGATTAGTTGGAGTGTGTGTGATTGTAGGTGTGTGTGCAAGTGTATGTGTGTACCTGGGCGTTTCTCCGGCTCGGCTCTGGTGTGGTGGTGGAAGCTGCGTTTACCCAGAAGGCCATGGGGACCGTGAGGGAGAGAAGAGAGGAGGCGGCGAGGGGGAGGGGCTTGAAGGCCAAGGGTTCGGTGAGAACGGGGGGTGTGTATCGCGGGCCGGGACTCTGGAACACATTACACCACACATTTGACCACCCATATTACTAAATTTTTCTTGTTTTGTTGTCATAGGAGAATGTCATTCCTTGTGGACTACTCATACAATTGTCTCCATTGTTTAGGCGTTGTGTGTGTGTGTGTGTGTGTGTGTGTGTGTGTGTGTGTGTGTTACCCAGGAACTGTAGGATGCTGGTCAGGGTACTCCTCTGGGTGGTCCGGATTCTGGGCGGTCGCCCGACTTGCCCCTCCGACAGCCGCAACATATCTAGACCAATCACCACACAGCAGCTCTACTACTGACCAATCACCAAACAGCGCCAGACAAAAGCAGCTGTACTATGTCATTCAGTCAAGAATACTGAGAATGTTTCAAACAGAGAAAAGGTATTAACATTGGCGGCATGCTGTGTAGTTTTCTTGAATTGTTGATAACAGAATTTATCTGAAAGCTCCGAAACTAACCGTTACCAACTAATAGCTGTGTAATCTACTAATTAAACTGTAACAAGCTGCAGTATGAGTTGAAAGCAGTTTGAGAGTGAAACACTGTGTTAGATTACTTACTGTATGAGGTGGTTATGGGAAGATGTAGCAGCAGAGCTCACACACACTAAATATATAAAGCACAGCCCTTATAACACACACATAACATGCATGCACACGCACACACGCACACACACACAGTGAGGGTGTGACTGGGGTGTGATGGAAGCAGGCAGAGATGGGTGGAGTCCATGCTCCAATAGGGGCAGGCCTTGTCTGGTCCTCTGACCAATTGGTGAGTGTGGTGGAGTGATGACAGGTACACAGACAAATGAAGCACAAGGACTCAGAGAATGGTTTCAGCTGTGACTTTATTACAGTTCCCACTGTCACATTCACAGAGAGAGGGATGGAGAGAGGAAGAGACGGAGAGAGAGAGAGATGGAGAGAGAGGAAGAGAAGGAGAGAGAGAGAGATGAGAGGGATGGAGAGAGAGAAAGAGAGAGGAGAGTGGAGGGAAGGGGGGAGGAAGGACGACGCGAGAGACGAGAGAGGCAGGAGTACGGGAATGAGAGAGAGGTAAGAGAAGCGATGAGAGAGAGGGAGAGAAGAGATGAGAGGGGATGGGATGAGAGAGGGACAGAGAGAGAGAGAAAGAGAGATGAGAGGGATGGAGAGAGGAAGAGACGGAGAGGAGAGATGAGAGGGATGGAGAGAGAGGAAGAGAGAGAGAGAAAGAGCGGGAGTGGAAGAGAGAAAGAGAAAGAAAAATAGAGAGTAATTCGAGGTAGGAGAAATAGAGATAAATAGAAGATATGACTGGAACAGAGGAACATCCTGATATGGGCATGTGAGAGTGGCTTACAGGACAGAATGGGAGCACGTGTTGGGGTTGGCTTGACAACATAGAAACAGGAAGAAAAAAAACGAGCTTCAAACTCAGAAAGAAAAGCTGAGAATGGAAGGCCGATTACCACCATCGTCATCTTCATAGAAGCCACTACTGCCTGAACTCACCCTTTTTGCCACCCTCTCCTCTATCTCCCTCCATGTCATCACATGAGCTCTAATGAAACTTCTCTCAATCAATCACACCAATCACTCATATCTCATACACACAATTCCTTGCAGAAAAAGCATATGAAGGCTCATTAATGTAACACGCACTGCGCTATGCAAAATAGAGCTTCTCTTAGTAAAATATGTCTCCTCCACTTCTAACTAACCTTAGCAAATATACGCTCACATTCTGCGGCCTGGAGAATAGGAAGTTGTGTGTTTGTGTATGGGTGGGCATGTATAGCATGTGTGTGTGTGTCTGTGGCATGCATGTGTACAAAATGACCCGTTCTAAGAAATGTTTGAGAAGAGTGTGTGCTTGTATGGATTTCAAACAGCTATAATAGCTGTTCAGTTGAGAGAGACACATAAAAACAAAACAAACAGATGAACAGATGATGAAACTCAAAAGTCATGAGGACCGGCAGTCTTTATTGGAAACAGGGGAGAAAATACAAAACCAAAATAATAATAATATAATAATAATACAATATAACAAAAACAGAGAGAGAAACAGACAGAGGGAGGAAGGAAGGAGAAGGAGCGAGGTGAGGGGATGGGGTGAAGGGGGGGGGGGTGGTTGTGTGTATGTGTGTGTGTGTGTGTCAATGTGTGTGTGTGTGTGTGAGGAGGCAGAAGTTAGGAATTGAAGGAGCTCTCACACTCAGCCCTTAAGGCAGCCCAGTTAATGAGCACAAAGGGGCGCCGCGCAACGCGTCGCAGTCTGACGATGTCACGGCACATGTGACGTGCCAGCTTGGTGAGGTGGGTGGCATGCAGCAGGAAGGCCTGCTTGGTCTTCGTGGAGGACTTGGGGCTGCCGCTGTTACGCACCGGCACCATGTGACTGGACTGGCGGGGGCCGTGGCCGCGCGACCGAGGCTCCTAGAGAGGGCTGACATGAGTACCTGTTCTCCATGACGGAGAAAAACAACTGTACTACATTACATATTTACAGTGGGGAAAAAAAGTATTTAGTCAGCCACCAATTGTGCAAGTTCTCCCACTTAAAAAGATAAGAGAGGCCTGTAATTTTCATCATAGGTACACGTCAACTATGACAGACAAATTGAGAAAAAAAAATCCAGAAAAATCACATTGTAGGATTTTTAATGCATTTATTTGCAAATGATGGTGGAAAATAAGTATTTGGTCACCTACAAACAAGCAAGATTTCTGGCTCTCACAGACCTGTAACTTCTTCTTTAAGAGGCTCCTCTGTCCTCCACTCGTTACCTGTATTAATGGCACCTGTTTGAACTTGTTATCAGTATAAAAGACACCTGTCCACAACCTCAAACAGTCACAGTCCAAACTCCACTATGGCCAAGACCAAAGAGCTGTCAAAGGACACCAGAAACAAAATTGTAGACCTGCACCAGGCTGGGAAGACTGAATCTGCAATAGGTAAGCAGCTTGGTTTGAAGAAATCAACTGTGGGAGCAATTATTAGGAAATGGAAGACATACAAGACAACTGATAATCTCCCTCGATCTGGGGCTCCACGCAAGATCTCACCCCGTGGGGTCAAAATGATCACAAGAAAATCCCAGAACCACACGGGGGGGACCTAGTGAATGACCTGCAGAGAGCTGGGACCAAAGTAACAAAGCCTACCATCAGTAACACACTACGCCGCAAGGGACTCAAATCCTGCAGTGGCAGACGTGTCCCCCTGCTTAAGCCAGTACATGTCCAGGCCCGTCTGAAGTTTGCTAGAGTGCATTTGGATGATCCAGAAGAGGATTGGGAGAATGTCATATGGTCAGATGAAACCAAAATATAACTTTTTGGTAAAAACTCAACTCGTCGTGTTTGGAGGACAAAGAATGCTGAGTTGCATCCAAAGAACACCATACCTACTGTGAAGCATGTGGGTGGAAACATCATGCTTTGGGGCTGTTTTTCTGCAAAGGGACCAGGACGACTGATCCGTGTAAAGGAAAGAATGAATGGGGCCATGTATTGTGAGATTTTGAGTGAAAACCTCCTTCCATCAGCAAGGGCATTGAAGATGAAACGTGGCTGGGTCCTTCAGCATGACAATGATCCCAAACACACCGCCCGGGCAACGAAGGAGTGGCTTCGTAAGAAGCATTTCAAGGTCCTGGAGTGGCCTAGCCAGTCTCCAGATCTCAAACCCCATAGAAAATCTTTGGAGGGAGTTGAAAGTCCGTGTTGCCCAGCGACAGCCCCAAAACATCACTGCTCTAGAGGAGATCTGCATGGAGGAATGGGCCAAAATACCAGCAACAGTGTGTGAAAACCTTGTGAAGACTTACAGAAAAGTTGACCCCGTTTCATTTCCAAAAAGGGGTTTTAAAAAAAGTATTGAAAAATTTTGTTTTTGACCCAAAAATTATTTCCCCCAAATTTTCAAATAAATTTATTTTAAAAAACCCACAATGGATTTTTGGGATTTTTTTTTTTCCCTTTTGTCTGTCATATTGAGGTTTTTCCTATGAAAGAAAAACAGGCCCTTCTCATCTTTTTAAGTGGGGGAATTGCACAATTTGGGGGCTGACTAAATCTTTTTTTTTTCCCCCTTATAGCAAATTTCAGAAAATTGAATATGCAGAAAAAGCCCCTGGGGGCCCGGGAAAGGGGAAAGTGTGGTAGTTTTAAAAGGTGAGGCTTACTTGGGCCCGGGGTGGGTGGGGTCTTCTCCTCGGGCCCCCCCGCTTGCTTTGGATTTTAAGGCCCAAAAAACCCCTTCTTCCATACTCCACACCACACCAGGGGACCTGCAGTTGGGCGGCCCCCCACAGTACCCTGGGGACTGCATGCTGTACACATACATGTTTTGGGGTCACACACCCCATAACGCAAATCAAAAAACACGATCAAAATCTAACAGTCGACGAAAATCATCCTCTTAAACACTGTTTCCCCGTCTCTTTGAAGGGGGGATGGGATATGTGTGTGGTGTGGTGTCTGTCGATATGAAAATAAAGAGTGTGGGTGTTGTATGGATTTCAAACGGCTATAATAGTGTTCAGTTGAGAGAGACACATAAAAACAAAACAACAGAAACGATGATGAAACTCAAAAGTATGAGGACCGAGTCTTATTGGAAACAGGGGAGAAATACAAAACCAAAATAATAATAATTAATAATAATACAATATAACAAAAAGAGAGAGAAACAGACAGAGGAGGAAGGAAGGAGAAGGAGCGGAGGTGAGGGATGGGGTGAAGGGGGGGGGGGGTCAAGGTGAAGGAGGGGGCGGTGGTTGTGGTATGTGTGTGTGTGTGTGTGTGTCAATGTGTGTGTGTGTGTGAGGAGGAAGAAGTTAGGAATGAAGGAGCTCTCACACTCAGCCCTAAGGCAGCCCAGTTAATGGCACAAAGGGCGCCGCGCAACGCGTCGCAGTCTGACGATGTCGCGGCACATGTGGAGTGCCAGCTTGGTGAGGTGGGTGGCATGCAGCAGGAAGGCCTGCTTTGTCTTCGTGGAGGACTTGGGGCTGCCGCTGTTACGCACCGGCACCATGTGACTGGACTGGCGGGGGCCGTGGCCGCGCGACCGAGGCTCCTAGAGAGGGCTGACATGAGTACCTGTTCTCCATGACGGAGAAAAACAACTGTACTACATTACATATTTATATCAGAATGTTCAGTAACATTGAATATGCAGAATAAGCCCATGGGGTACAGGGTTAAAGGGGAGATGTGTGGTAGTTAAAGGTGAGGTCTTACGTTGGGCACAGGGCTGGGTGGGGTCTTCTCCTCGGGCCCCTCCGCTCTGCTTGGCATCTTAAGGCCACCGTACTTCTTCCAGTACATCCAGCACGACACACACAGGCGACACTGCATGTTGGGCGGCCCCCACGAGTACCACTGGGCTGACTGCATCGCTGTACACATACATGTTAGGACTCACACACCTCATCAACGCATAATCAATACACACGATCAATATCTAACAGTCGATCGATAAGTCATCCTCTTAAACACTGTTCACCAGTCTCTGATGAGGGGATGGAGAGAAGGATGGCTGGATGTACTTACAGTAGCAGCTCTCGCAGGCTCGTCCTCCCCCCGCTGCCTGGTAGGCTCCAGGCCCTGCCCCATTCACCGTCGCCATCTTCCCATTGGTCACTGAGATCTGGTTAGGGTTGGGCTTGTTGCTGCAATACGAGAGGGAGGTAGATACACAACAAATCTTCAATATGAATCCTCTAACGGGTGAAGACACACACTGTATATGGACGTGATTGTGCACCAACACTCACACACAAACACTTCAAACAGACACTCAATCAAACACACACACACACACACACACACACACACACACACACACACACACACACACACACACACACACACACTTACTATGTGGGGATGTAAACCTGCTTCAGTTTACTTTCTGCTTCTGCTGCCTTCAGTCTCTTCTGCTCAGAGAGAAACACAGAGAGGACGGTTAGACTGCTAGCCAATAAGACCAGAGGACAGCTTGGCACTGGATGCTGCGATGTCGCTAACAGCTAGGCTAGCTGGCTAGCTAGCTAGCAGGAGTGGTGTAGAGATATGGAGACTCACCTGCTGTACGTATCTGTCTGTTGTCTTCCACATGTAATAATACTCTATTATACTGGTCAGAGACTTCCATGGTAGCTAAAGAGGGGGAAAAGGAGAGAGATGGTTTTAACAATGCTCATGTTTTTGACGTCTGCGTGTCAGATCCCTCATGAATATTGATGAGCAGGCCGACCAGGTTTATTCTGAACCCAACTCAGATGCAAACACACACACACAAAAATATAACATGGTGCCATACTGTATGGCTGCCATCTTGCGAGCTCCAACACAACTTTTCTATTTAATGATTCTTTTAGCGTTTATCCTTATTTTTTTGCAGAAAATGACCGACAATAACTTTTGAACATCAGATCGGCAGTTACTAACCAACCAAATTCCAGCTTTAATTTCGACTCATCTGCCCTGGGCTATTTGTGTAATTCTGACCCAATTTTTCCAGCTATCCAAGAGGAAATGCCGGCGAAAAAGAGGCAGGAGAGGGGAGCCCTGGCAAGATTACGGCAAAGTGAAAACCGGCCACTTCTTCCCTCCATTCTATTGGCCAATGTAGACTCTTGATAAGATGGATCACCTCCGATCACGGATTTGCTACTAACGGGACTCTCGTAACTGCAATATTCTCTGCTTTTCTGAAACATGGTTTTCGGACAAGATACCCCCCGTGGCTACCCAACTCGAAGTATTTTCCATTCACTGAGCAGACAGGACATTGGATTCAGGGAAGTTAAGAGGGGGAGGGATATGCCTCTTCATCAACAACAAATAGTGTGCTGAACTCTCGACCCTGTTATCGTGACTGTTGTAAACATTCCACCTCAGGACAAGAAAAACAACACGCTGGCACTTAATGAACTGTACGAGGCTATAAACAAGCAGGAAACCATACAGCCCGGAGGTTTCCTGCTTGTCATTTAATACATGTAATGTAGAGGACTGCGCGGGACTGATTAATTAATACCGCACCCACTCCCACACCCGCTGGCTTCCTGTCCGACTACCACCTGCTACCGCAAGAACTGCTCCCAAACCCAACCGCAGTCCCGCAATGTTATTCACAATGTATGTGACTCAGCGCATTTGCCAGCCATGGTCCCCCTCCGGTCTTGGTCTTGAGGTGGTCTCGAACACAACACTGCTATCTCTATTACTGGGCTATATCAGCCAATAGGCTAGACGCAGTTTGAAGAGAGCAGAGTTGGAGAGACTTGCCCTTTCTCTTGAGCTATGTTTTGTAGACTACCTTTTAGGAGTGGGTCAACTATAGGCAGTTTCTTATGGATCGCTCCTACAGACAGTGAGTCATGTGGCCGTGGCCTGCTATGTAAAGCAGGCAGATGGGTATCGAGGCATTCAGTTAATGTTCGATTGAACATTAGAATGGGCAAACCGAGTGACCTAAGTCACTTTGAGCGTGGTATGATTGTCAGTGTCAGGCGCGCCGGATCCAGTATCTCAGAAACAGCCGCCCTCCTGGGCTTTTCACGCACGACAGTGTCTAGGGTTTCTAGAGAATGGTGCGACAAACAAAAAACATCCAGTCAGCGGCAGTCCTGTGGGCGAAAACAGCTTGTCGATAAGAATGGTGCAAGCTAACAGGTGGTCCAGAAACAGACAAATAATGGCGCAGTACAACAGAGGTGTGCAGAAAGGCCTCTCAGAACGCACAACTCGTCCATCCTTGTCACGGCTTGGCTATTGCAGCAGATGACCACACCGGGTTTCACTCATACCAGCTAAAAACAAGCAGCACCTCCAGTGGGCACGCCATCACCAACACTGGACAATTGAGGAGTGGAAAAACATCGCCTGGTCTGACGAATCCCAGTTTCCAGTTGCGTCATCCCCTGATGGCAGAGTCAGGATTTGGTGTAAGCAGCATCGTCCATGGACCCTTCCTGCCAGGTGTCAACGGTACAGGCTGGTGGCGGTGGGGTACCGCCGTCCAACAGCAGCAACTGCGCGATGCCATCGTGTCAGCATGGACCAACATCCCTGTGTCCCGTTTCCGACTTGTAGAATTCATGCCCCGAACAATTCAGGCTGTTCTGGAGGCAAAGGGGGGTTCAACCCGGTACTAGATGGGTGTACCTAATAAACAGTCCGGTGAGTGTATAGTATAATCATATTTTATTTAATTTCCTTGGAAAGATAACTGCCCAGTGATTCCACACCCATGCATAGGTAGCCTACTCTATTTCATTGAGACCACACTTATACCAGGCGCACTTGATCTTGCACGCCCAACTAGGAGAGGAGAGGTAGGCTACTAAACTTGAAACAGCGAATTCTGAGTGTGTGTGAATAATGCGACAAATATGTGCTTGTAATACAATAGGTAGGCTAACACATACAGTGGGGAGAACAAGTATTTGATACACTGCCGATTTTGCAGGTTTCCCTACTTACAAAGCATGTAGAGGTCTGTAATTTTTATCATAGGTACACTTCACTTGTGAGAGACGGAATCTAAAACAAAAATCCAGAAAATCACATTGTATGATTTTTAAGTAATTAATTAGCATTTTATTGCATGACATAAGTATTTGATACATCAGAAAAGCAGAACTTAATATTTGGTACAGAAACCTTTGTTTGCAATTACAGAGATCATATGTTTCCTGTAGGTCTTGACCAGGTTTGCACACACTGCAGCAGGGATTTTGGCCCACTCCTGCATACAGACCTTCTCCAGATCCTTCAGGTTTCGGGGCTGTCGCTGGGAAATACGGACTTTCAGTTCCCTCCAAAGATTTTCTATTGGGTTCAGGTCTGGAGACTGGCTAGGCCACTCCAGGACCTTGAGATGCTTCTTACGGAGCCACTCCTTAGTTGCCCTGGCTGTGTGTTTCGGGTCGTTGTCATGCTGGAAGACCCAGCCACGACCCATCTTCAATGCTCTTACTGAGGGAAGGAGGTTGTTGGCCAAGATCTCGCGATACATGGCCCCATCCATCCTCCCCTCAATACGGTGCAGTCGTCCTGTCCCCTTTGCAGAAAAGCATCCCCAAAGAATGATGTTTCCACCTCCATACTTCACGGTTGGGATGGTGTTCTTGGGGTTGTACTCCTTCTTCTTCCTCCAAACACGGCGAGTGGAGTTTAGACCAAAAAGCTCTATTTATGTCTCATCAGACCACATGACCTTCTCCCATTCCTCCTCTGGATCATCCAGATGGTCATTGGCAAACTTCAGACGGGACTGGACATGCGCTGGCTTGAGCAGGGGGACCTTCCGTGCGCTGCAGGATTTTAATCCATGACGGCGTAGTGTGTTACTAATGGTATTCTTTGAGACTGTGGTCCCAGCTCTCTTCAGGTCATTGACCAGGTCCTGCCGTGTAGTTCTGGGCTGATCCCTCACCTTCCTCATGATCATTGATGCCCCACAGGGTGAGATCTTGCATGGAGCCCCAGACCGAGGGTGATTGACCGTCATCTTGAACTTCTTCCATTTTCTAATAATTGCGCCAACAGTTGTTGCCTTCTCACCAAGCTGCTTGCCTATTGTCCTGTAGCCCATCCCAGCCTTGTGCAGGTCTACAATTTTATCCCTGATGTCCTTACACAGCTCTCTGGTCTTGGCCATTGTGGAGAGGTTGGAGTCTGTTTGATTGAGTGTGTGGACAGGTGTCTTTTATACAGGTAACGAGTTCAAACAGGTGCAGTTAATACAGGTAATGAGTGGAGAACAGGAGGGCTTCTTAAAGAAAAACTAACAGGTCTGTGAGAGCCGGAATTCTTACTGGTTGGTAGGTGATCAAATACTTATGTCATGCAATAAAATGCAAATTAATTACTTAAAAATCATACAATGTGATTTCCTGGATTTTTGTTTTAAGATTCCGTCTCTCACAGTTGAAGTGCACCTATGATAAAAATTACAGACCTCTACATGCTTTGTAAGTAGGAAAACCTGCAAAATCGGCAGTGTATCAAATACTTGTTCTCCCCACTGTACAAAGCAGAAAGACAAACATTTCCAAATAATCAGTGGGACAAGAATAATATTTTAATCCCAAAGATGTCGGTCTGACTGCCCGCTCCCAACCGCAGCATGAAAAATGCAGACCAAGCCCCAATAACCTCTGTCAGGACCCGCAGCCCTCTAACATACTGTACTTCCATCATTCGCCACTAGGGGCGTTAAAGACCACTGTTACCCGTGATGCACTCTTACATTTACATTTTAGTCATTTAGCAGACGCTCTTATCCAGAGCGAGTTACAGGAGCAATTAGGGTTAAGTGCATTGCTCAAAGGCACATCGACATACTTTTTCACCTATTCGGCTCGGGGATTAGAACCAGCGACCTTTCGGTTACTGGCACAACGCTCTTAACCACTAAGCTACCTGCCGAGAAATGGTCCTCCAAATTGGAGGCTATGCTACAAGGCTGCTTTGCTAGTGCTGATTGGAATATGTTCCGGGACTACGCCAATAGCATCGACGAGCTAACCACCTCTGTCACCTGCTTCATTAGGAAAAGCATCGGCAATGTTGTCCCCACAGGTAAGGTTCGCTGCTTCCCCAATAAAAAGCCCTGGATTAACACAGAGGTTGGCACAAAGCTAAAGGACAGGGCTACCGCACACAGGGCTACCGCACACAGGGCTACCGCACACAGGGCTACCGCAGACAGGGCTACCGCACACAGGGCTACCGCACACAGGGCCACAGGGCTACCGCACACAGGGCTACCGCACACAGGGCTATCGCAGACAGGGCTACCGCACACAGGGCTACCGCACACAGGGCTACCGCACACAGGGCTACCGCACACAGGGCTACCGCACACAGGGCTATCGCAGACAGGGCTACCGCACACAGGGCTACCGCACACAGGGCTACCGCACACAGGGCTATCGCAGACAGGGCTACCGCACACAGGGCTACCGCACACAGGGCTACCGCACACAGGGCTAACGCACACAGGGCTACCGCAGACAACCCAGAGGCTACAGCTGAGGACACAAACAAGTCCAATAAGTCACGATACGACCTCCGCAGAGCCATCAAACAAGCAAAAGGACAAAATAGGAACAAGGTGGAATCCTATTACACAGACTCCGACGCCCGCCGCTTGTGGCAGGGGCTACAGTCCATTACGGATTACAAAGGAAGAACCGGCCGTGATCTGCCCAACGATGCCTCTCTACCAGACGAACTCAATGCATTTTATGCATGCCTCGACAAAAATAACACAGAGCCGTGCACGAGGGCCCCCGCTGACCCAGGGGACTGGGTGATCTCGTGGTCCTCTGTAGCTCAATTGGTAGAGCATGGCGCTTGTAACGCCAGGGTAGTGGGTTCGATCCCCGGGACCACCCATACACAAAAATGAATGCACGCATGACTGTAAGTCGCTTTCGATAAAAGCATCTGCTAAATGGCATATTATTATTATTATTATTATTATTATTATTATTATTATTATTATTATATCTCGCTCTCCGAGGCCGATAATAATAATAATAATAATAATAAGCCATTTAGCAGATGCTTTTATCGAAAGCGACTTACAGTCATGCGTGCATTCATTTTTGTGTATGGGTGGTCCCGGGGATCGAACCCACTACCCTGGCGTTACAAGTGCCGTGCTCTACCAGCTGAGCTACAGAGGTTTTAAAATCAGGTCAACACTCATAAGTCCACAGGGCCGGACGGTATTCCAGGGCGCGTTCTCAGTGCATGCGCAGTACAGCTGGCAGGCATATTCACAGTCATTTTCAACCTCTCCTTGTCCCAGTTTGTAATCCCCACGTTTTAAGATGACCACCATCATTACTGTCCCCAAGAACTCTAAGGCTTTGCCACCATGACTACCACCCTGTAGCCCTCACATCTGTAATCACCGGCTACGATGAGACAGCCTACAGGAAGGACAGTGTGTACCTATGGTAAGAGTGGGGGTGTTAACCCGTGTCCTGGCTAAATTCCCAATCTGGCCCTCATACCATCATGGCCACCTAATCATCCCCAGCTTCCAATTGGCTCATTCGTCCTCCCTCCTCTCCCCTTTAACTATACCCCGGGTCATCGCTGTAAAATGAGAATGTGTTCTCAGTCAACTTACCTGGTAATATAAGGGTAAAAAAAAAAGAAAAGAAAGTGTGGTGCCAGTACAACAACCTCCCCCTCAACGTCAGCAGGACAAAGGAGATGATCGTGGACCACAGGAAACGGAGGGGCGAGCATGCCCCAATTCACATCAACAGGGCTGTAGTGGAGCGGGTCGAGAGCTTCAAGTTCCTCGGTGTCCAAACCACTAATGCAGCGTTTCCCAAACTCGATCCTCGGGACCCCAACTCGATCCCCCCCCCCCCCCCACTACACAGCTGATTCAAATGATCAAAGCTTGATGGGTTGATTATTTGAATCAGATGTGCAGTGCTAGGGCAAAGACCAAAACACCCCTTAGGTTCCAGAGGATCGAGTTTGGGAAACCCTGCACTAAGGACTTAAAAAATTGTCCACATACAGCGCATCTTACCCCTCAAGAGGTTGAAAAGATTTGGCATGGGCCCTCAAATCCTCAAAAAGTTATACAGCAGATACAGTGGCTTGCGAAAGTATTCACCCCCCTTGGCATTTTTCCTATTTTGTTGCCCTACAACCTGGAATTAAAATTGATTTTTTGGGGGGGTTGTATCTTTTGATTTACACAACATACCTACCACTTTGAAGATGCTAAATATTTTTTCTTGTGAAACAGACAAGAAAGAAGACAAAAAAACAGAAAACTTGAGCCTGCATAACTATTCACCCCCCCAAAGTCAATACTTTGTAGAGCCACCTTTCGCAGCAATTACAGCTGCAAGTCTCTTGGGGTATGTCTCTATAAGCTTGGCACATCTAGCCACTGGGATTTTTGCCCATTCTTCAAGGCAAAACTGCTCCAGCTCATTCAAGTTGGATGGGTTCTGCTGGTGTACAGCAATCTTTAAGTCATACCACAGATTCTCAACTGGATTGAGGTCTGGGCTTTGACTAGGCCATTCCAAGACATTTAAATGTTTCCCCTTAAACCACTCGAGTGTTGCTTTAGCAGTATGCTTAGGGTCATTGTCCTGCTGGAAGGTGAACCTCCGTCCCAGTCTCAAATCTCTGGAAGACTGAAACAGGTTTCCCTCAAGAATTTCCCTGTATTTAGCGCCATCCATCATTCCTTCAATTCTGACCAGTTTACCAGTCCCTGCCGATGGAAAAACATCCGCACAGCATGATGCTGCCACCACCATGCTTCACTGTAGGGATTGTGTTCTCGGGGTGATGAGAGGTGTTGGGTTTGCGCCAAACATAGCGTTTTCCTTGATGGCCAAAAAGCTCAATTTTAGTCTCATTTGACCAGAGTACCTTCTTCCATATGTTTGGGGAGTCTCCCACATGCCTTTCGGCGAACACCAAACGTGTTTGCTTATTTTTTTCTTTAAGCAATGGCTTTTTCTGGCCACTCTTCCGTAAAGCCCAGCTTTGTGGCGTGTACGGCTTAAAGTGGTCCTATGGACAGATACTCCAATCTCCGCTGTGGGTTTTGCAGCTTCAGGGTTATCTTTGATCTCTTTGTTGCCTCTCTGATTAATACCCTCCTTGCCTGGTCCATTAGTTTTCGTGGGCGGCCCTCTCTTGGCAGGTTTGTTGCGGTGCCATATTCTTTCAATTTTTGAATAATGGATGTAATTGTGCTCCGTGGGATGTTCAAAGTTTCTGATATTTTTTTATAACCCATCCCTGATCTGTACTTCTCCACAACTTTGTCCCTGACCTGTTTGGAGAGCTCCTTGGTCTTCATGGTGCCGCTTGCTTGGTGGTGCCCCTTGCTTAGAGGTGTTGCAGTCTCTGGGGCCTTTCAGAACAGGTGTATATATACACTGAGATCATGTGACAGATCATGTGACACAGATTGCGCACAGGTGGACTTTATTGAACTAATTATGTGACTTCTGAAGGTAATTGGTTGCACCAGATCTTATTTAGGGTCTTCATAGCAAAGGGGGTGAATACATATGCACGCACCACTTTTCCGTTAATTATTTTTTAGAATTATTTGAAACAAGTTATTTTTTTCATTTCACTTCACCAATTTGGACTATTTTGTGTATGTCCATTCCATGAAATCCAAATAAAAAACTATTTAAATTACAACATAATAGGAAAAACGCCAAGAGGGATGAATACATTTGCAAGGCACTGTAGCCCAGTACATCACTGGGGCTGAGCTCCCTGCCATCTAGGAGCTCTGTACCAGGCGGTGTGAAAGGAAAGGCCGGAAAATTGTTAAAGACTACAGCCACCCAAGCCATAGACTATTCTCTCTGCTTCCGCACAGCAAGCGGTACCGGAGCAACAAGTCTGACACCAACAGGCTCCTGAACAGCACTCTCCCCAAGCCTTAAGATTGCTAAATAGCTAACAAAATGGCTACACGGACTATCTGAGTTAACCCTTTATTTTATTTATATTTTTGACTCTACGCACTGACTCTACGCACACTCTACGCACTGACTCTATTCACACTCTACACACTGACTCTTGACAGTCCAACACACACACATGCTTAAATTTGAACACACACACACATTCATACTGACTCTAAACACACACAATCATCATATACGCTGCTGCTACTCTGTTTATCATACATCCTTATCCCATTACATATCGACCTCTATCACTCCAGTATCCCTGCACATTATAAATATTTTATTGGAACTGACCCTCTTCATAGCTTCTTACGTTAATATTAATATTTTATGGTAAATATATTGGGTATATATACTGATATTGGTTACTGCATCGTTGGGAACGAGCAAGAATGGCATTTCACTTTACTTGTACATGTGACAAAAACTTGAAACACACAATGTACACACACACACTTTGAGACTGTGACTTACGAAGTCCTGTCTTATGTCGTTGAAGTCCTTTCCGTATTTCTCCAGAGCCTCTTCAAACATGGCTGCCTCCGAGGCGCTCCACTCCTCCATCTCGTCCCGACACAACACCGGCCCACCGGACGGCACCAACACACTCAACGCACTGGACAGGTCGTAACCATGACGATGCAGCGTGTCCATCGCATGGAACTACACACACACACACGGACACACACACAGGCAGATAGAAAGTTTGAGCGAGTTTATCCATCAAAAGTTAGAGAAGGTTATATCCTTAGACGAACAGTCAAACTCAGGACAATAAAAAATGGTGTGTGTCTCACCAGTGTGATGTCTCGGGAGGCGGCGGCTGCACTTGCATGTAGACTGGGCTGTCTGACCGAGCTGCTACAGTCCAGCGCTCTGGCAAACGTCCCCACCGCCCTACAAACACACAGCTTTGAGGTCAGGGCTAGAGAGATCAAGGGTACGTGGGTCTTCGGTACGGCAAACAGGAACTGAGAGGTCAAGGGGTTAGAGGTTAAAGGTCGTACCGTGCCACCACCAGGAACTGGTCTATCTGTTTGCTGGAGAGAGGACAGTCAGGATCCCACAGCTTCTCCTCTAGCTTTGATTGGTCACGTTCATCTGAGTAACCTACAAAGATACAGTCAGTCAGAGGGTGTGTGTGTGTGTGTGTGAAGAACGTATGGTGTGTGTGTGTGGTGTGTGTGTGTGTGCCTACCCTCCTGTAGCATGTCAGGTACGTCGGCCTGAAAGCGTGGTCCCACTCTGATCTCTCCCTTATCAGCCAACAGTGTCTTCTGGGTAGGGTCGTAAACCAGGGAGTAGAAAAACGTATCCTACGGAAAACACACACGTTTTTACAATACACACACACACACGTTACACACACACAAAGCTGACACATGAGAATGGTATGGGAGGCATTTTAATAGCAGGACATACCTACACACAACCCTTCTTACCTCTTTGTCCAGGTAGGAGAGAACAGCTTCAGTCTCATTCAACAATGCCACACTACACTTCCCCCTGAAAGAGAGAGAGAGAGGAGAGACGGAGAGGAGGGGGGGGGGGGGGGGGTGAGCGCTGTTGTCTGTGTCACACGGTTTAATGGCTGGGTGAGTGTGTATTCAGGGGTACTGCCTGTTACAGCAGGGGGGATTGTGTGTGTGTGTTAGGGCTGGTACAATTAATGTATAACTGTGTCACCAACGGTTATGGATGAAGATCGTCATGAAAATAAAATAATCAGTTCCAGCCATTATTATGAGCCGTCCTCCACTCAACAGCCTCCACTGATATATATATATATATACAGTGCTATTAAGAGGTCTTTGCCCCCTTTCTAATTTTCTCTACTTTTGCATATTTGTGATAATGAATGTTATCAGATCTTCAACCAAAACCTAATATTAGATAAAGGGAACATAAGTGAACAAATAACACAACAATTACATATTTATTTCATAAACAAAGTTATGCAACACCCAATTCCCCTGTGTGAAAAAGTAATTGCCCACTTACACTCAATAACTGGTTGTGCCACCTTTAGCTGCAATGACTCCAACCAAATGCTTCCTGTAGTTGTTGATCAGTCTCTCACGTCGCTGTGGAGGAATTTTGGCCCACTCTTCCATGCAGAACTGCTTTAACTCAGTGACGTGTGGGTTTTCAAGCATGAACTGCTCGTTTCAAGTCCTGCCACAACATCTCAATTGGGATTAGGTCTGGACTTTGACTAGGCCATTCCAAAACTTCCAATTTGTTGCTTTTTAGCAATTTTCATGTAGACTTGATTGTGTGTTTTGGATCATTGTCTTGCTGCATGACCCAGCTGTGCTTCAGCTTCAGCTCACAGACGGATGGTCTGACATTCTCCTGTAGAATTCTCTGATACAGAGCAGAATTCATGGTTCCTTCTATTAAGGCAAGTCGTCCAGGTCCTGAGGCAGCAAAGCATCGCCAAACCATCACACCACCATGCTTGACCTTTGGTATGATGTTCTTACTGTGGAATGCAGTGTTTGGTTTTCGCCAGGCATAATGGGACCCATCTCGTCCAAAAAGTTGACTCAAGTTTGCCAAAAAGCACCTGGATGATCATCAAGACTCTTGGAAGAACGTTCTATGGACAGATTATTCAAAAGTATAACTTTTTGGACGACATGGTTCCAGTAATGCCTGGCGAAAACCAAACTCTGCATTCCACAGTAAGAACATCATACCAAAAGTCAAGCATGGTGGTGGTGGTGGTGTGATGGTTTGGTGATGCTTTGCTGCCTCGGGACCTGGACGACTTGCCTTAATAGAAGGAACCATGAATTCTGCTCTGTATCAGAGAATTCTACAGGAGAATGTCAGACCATCTGTCTGTGAGCTGAAGCTGAAGCACAGCTGGGTCATGCAGCAAGACAATGATCCAAAACACACAATCAAGTCTACATGAAAATTGCTAAAAAAGCAACAAATTGGAAGTTTTGGAATGGCCTAGTCAAAGTCCAGACCTAATCCCAATTGAGATGTTGTGGCAGGACTTGAAACGAGCAGTTCATGCTTGAAAACCCACACGTTAAAGCAGTTCTGCATGGAAGAGTGGGCCAAAATTCCTCCACAGTGACGTGAGAGACTGATCAACAACTACAGGAAGCATTTGGTTAGAGTCATTGCAGCTAAAGGTGGCACAACCAGTTATTGAGTGTAAGGGGGCAATTACTTTTTCACACAGGGGAATTGGGTGTTGCATAACTTTGTTTATGAAATAAATGAAATGAATATGTAATTGTTGTGTTATTTGTTCACTTATGTTCCCTTTATCTAATATTAGGTTTTGGTTGAAGATCTGATAACATTCAGTATCACAAATATGCAAAAGTAGAGAAAATTAGAAAGGGGGCAAATACTTTTTCATAGCACTGTATATATATACACACACACACACACCACCAGTCAAAAGTTTGGACACACCTACTCATTCAAAGGGTTTTTATTTATTTAAATTATTTTTTACATTGTAGAATAATAGTGAAGACATCAAATCTATGAAATAACATATGGAATGATGTTGTAACAAAAAAAGTGTTAAACAAAATATATTTTATATTTGAGATTCTTCAAATAGCTACCCTTTGCCTTGATGACAGCTTTGCACACTCTTGGCATTCTCTCAACCAGATGTTTTATTTATTTATTTTTAATTTCACCTTTATTTAACCAGGTAAACCAGTTGAGAACAAGTTCTCATTTACAACTGCGACCTGGCCAAGATAAAGCAAAGCTAAATGAGGTAGTCACCTGGAATGCATTTCAATTAACAGGTATGCCTTCTTAAAAGTTAATTTGTGGAATTTATTTGAGCCAATCAGTTGTGTTGTGACAAGGTAGGTGGGGTAAACAGAAGATAACCCTATTTGGTAAAAGACCAAGTCCATATTATGGCAAGAACAGCTCAAATAAGCAAAGATGTGTTGTGACAAGGTAGGGGGGGGGGGGTATACAGAAGATAGCCCTATATGGTAAAAGACAATGTCCAAGAACAGCTCAAATAAGCAAATAGAAACAACAGTCCATCATTACTTTAAGACATGAAGGTCAGTCAATACAGAACATTTCAAGAACTTTGAACGTTTCTTCAAGCGCAGTCGCAAAAACCATCAAGCACTATGATGAAACTGGCTCTCATGAGGATACGACATCCCATCTGGACTGGGCTTAGTGGGACTATCATTTGTTTTTCAACAGGACAATGACCCAACACACCTCCAGGCTGTGTATTTTACCAAGAAGGAGAGTGATGGAGTGCTGCATCAGATGACCTGGCCTCCACAATCCTCCGACCACAACCCAATTGAGATGGTTTGGGATGAGTCGGACCGCAGAGTGAAGGAAAAGCAGCCAACAAGTGCTCAGCATATGTGGGAACTCCTTCAAGACTGTTGGAAAAGCATTCCAGGTGAAGCTGGTTGAGAGAATGCCAAGAGTGTGCAACACTGTCATCAAGGCAACGGGTGGCTATTTGAAGAATATATTTTGATTTGTTTAACACTTTTTTGGTTACTCCATGATTCCATATGTGTTATTTCATAGTTTTGAGGTCTTCACTATTATTCTACAATGTAGAAAATAGTAAAAATAAATAAAAACCCTTGAATGAGTAGGTGTTCTAAAACCATACTACACTTCCCCCTGAAAGAGGGAGAGGAGGAGAGACGGAGAGGAGGGGGGGAGGGGGGGGGGGGGAGCACTGTTGTCTGGGTTAAACAGTGGCTGGGTGAATTCAGGGGTACTGCCTGTTACAGCAGGGGGGATTGTGTGTGTGTGTGTGTGTGTGTGTGTGTGTGTGTGTGTGTGTGTGTGTGTGTGGTGTGTGTGTGTGTGTGTGTGTGTGTGTGTGTGTGTGTGTGTGTTTGTGTGTGTGGATGGATGGATGTGGAACAAACAGCTGACTGAAAATGGGACTGCTGGGCATTCATGGATTGAGTCAGTTTCTGCTGTAACAAGCAAGGTGTTGTAGCAAACAAGTCTTTGGTTGCCTCGGCAATGCCCCCCTCCCTGCATCAGCACATGCAGTCAGGAGCGGAGGAGAGGAGAAAATGTATTTTAAAGCTGAAATCCTTAATGGGGAAACTGACACATTCGTTTGCGATATTACAACAACAAAGAAGTCACTGCAAACAACAAACAGTTTTTCCCCCTCGGACATCATTGCACCCGCGATTGAAGAGCTTCTCCTCAGCTCAGCAACAAAAACAAGTACAATGGTGGTGGGGCGGCCGTGGCACTGTTTCCGCCTACTGCGGATTCCATCTTAAAAAATGATATATACACTACCGTTCAAAAGTTTGGGGTCACTTAGAAATGTCCTTGTTTTCCATGAAAACATACATGAAATGAGTTTGAATAGGAAATATACCAAATGCATAGTAAATTTAGTCATTGACAAGGTCAGAAATAATGATTTTTAATTGAAATAATAATTGTGTCCTTCAAACTTTGCTTTCGTCAAAGAATCCTCAATTTGCAGCAATTACAGCCTTGCAGACCTTTGGCATTCTAGTTGTCAATTTGTTGAGGTAATCTGAAGAGATTGCACCCCATGCTTCCTGAAGCACCACCCACAAGTTGGATTGGCTTGATGGGCACTTCTTACGTACCATACAGTCAAGCTGCTCCCACAACAGCTCTATAGGGTTGAGATCCAGTGACTGTGCTGGCCACTCCATTATAGACAGAATACCAGCTGACTGCTTCTTCACTAAATAGTTATTGCATAGTTTGGAGCTGTACTTTGGGTCATTGACTTGTTGTAGGAGGAAATTGGCTCCAATCAAGCGCCGTCCACAGGGTATGGCATGGCGTTGCAAAATGGAGTGATAGCCTTCCTTCTTCAAGATCCCTTTTACCCTGTACAAATCTCCCACTTTACCACCAGCAAAGCACCCGCAGACCATCACATTGCCTCCACCATGCTTGACAGATGGCATCAATCACTCCTCCAGCATCTTTTCATTTGGTCTGCGTCTCACAAATGTTCTTCTTTGTGATCCGAACACCTCAAACTTCGATTTGTCTGTCCATAAAACTTTTTTCCAATCTTCCTCTGTTCAGTGTCTGTGTTCTTTTGCCCATCTTAATCTTTTCTTTTTATTGGCCAGTCTGAGATATGGCTTTTTCTTTGCAACTCTGCCTAGAAGGTCAGCATCCCGGAGTCGCCTCTTCACTGTTGCCGTTGAGACTGGTGTTTTGCGGGTACTATTTAATGAAGCTGCCAGTTGAGGACCTGTGAGGCGTCTGTTTCTCAAACTAGACACTCTATTGTATTTGTCCTCTTGCTCAGTTGTGCACCAGGGCCTTCCACTCCTCTTTCTATTCTGGTTAGAGCCAGTTTGCGCTGTTCTGTGAAGGGAGTAGTACACAGCGTTGTACGAGATGTTAAGTTTCTTGGCAATTTCTCACATGGAATAGCCTTCATTTCTCAGAACAAGAATAGACTGACGAGTTTCAGAAGAAGGTTATTTGTTTCTGGCCATTTTGAGCCTGTAATCGAACCCACAATTGCTGATGCTCCAGATACTCAACTAGTCTCAAGAAGGCCAGTTTTATTGCTTCTTTAAATCAGCACAACAGCTTTCAGCTGTGCTAACATAATTGCAAAAGGGTTTTCTAATGATCACTTAGCCTTTAAAATGATAAACTTGGATTAGCAAACACAACGTGCTATTGGAACACAGGACTGATGGTTGCTGATAATGGGCCTCTGTACGCCTATGTAGATATTCCATTACAAATCTGCCATTTCCAGCTACAATTGCTATTTACAACTTTAACAATGTCTACACTGTATTTCTGATCAATTTGATGTTATTTTAATGGACAAACAAATTGCTTTTCTTTCGAAAACAAGGACATTTCTAAGTGACCCCAAACTTTTGAACAGTAGTGTATATTTTGTTTGTTTGCTAATCAAACGGTTATTACGATGACCGCAGTCATTTGGCTGACCAATTACCGTCCTCCAAAATTCAATGACTGTCACAGCCCTGGCGTGTGTGTGTAAATGAGTGAGTGAGTGTACCTGATGTGTGTGGCTGGTAGACTCTCATATTGGCGCGAGAGGAACAGTTCTCTGTGGCGTAACTGGTGTTCTTGTTTGTCTGTCAGGTCCGCCTCCGACGGACTTTCTTTCTCCTCCTCTAGGTCCTCTGTACGTTCACACACACACGCACACACACACACACACACACACACACACACACACACACACACACACTAAACATGACTGTCTGAGCCTGGACCCCTGCTGTATGGATCAGGAAACCCTGCAGACATTCAGCTACCCCCTACTGTTACACTGATACACAAAAGCACACATGGACGGACGGACGGACACACACACAGGGCCACCTACGTGCGTGTTTGTCAGCCAACTGTATGAGACTGTGTGAGATGTCTCTCCTTCTGTAGAAACACACCACCTTGGCCTCCACATTGCCACTGGCAGTCTGAAGAGAGAGAGAGAGAGAGAGAGATAAAGTCAACTCTTAGCACACTAACTTATCACAAATAAATAAATATTACTCCTGAAATTTACCACTGGCTGTTTATGCGAGGAGGAGAGGGAGTTCCAACACTTTAAAAACAGCATCTTGAATTGCATTTAGAGAGAGGGGCAGGGAAATACAATGACTAACTAACAAATACCAACATTTTTATTTCCCATGAGACTTTGCTCCCTGGCCCAATAGCCACGACACTGACTGATAGATGCATTGATACATTGCCTGATTGTGGATATAGCTGGGCAGACAGATGTTTTGTCTCCTCTGAGATTAAACACACTGACGGAAGGGCATGGAGGAGGAGAGGAGAGAGGGAAGGAGGTACGGATGGAGAGGAGAGAGGGCGGTATTGGGGGAGGGAGGAGGTGTGCCCATTCTCACCTGCCGGTTGCCATGGAAATGGCAGTTGAAGGCAGGTAACATCTGTCGCTATGCAACATATTACACACACAATCTCACATACACACACTAACGCAGGAGAGGAAAAGTCACAGAACTGACAGGCAGCTTATTCACTGTCAGGCACATCGGCCAGATTACTTTAATTACCTACACACAAACACCCCAAGGTGGGCATTACCTTGTTGAGTTCTTCTATCCGGCGGATCAGGTAAGGGTTGCTGGAGGAATTCTCAAAGAATACATAGTCTGGAAGAGAACACAATAACATCACATTAACACACTGCCTGCCATACTGTATAACCATTCCAGATACTGGATGTGCAGGCTTTTATTCCAGCCCTGTTCTAACACCTAATTCAACAACAGGGGAGAACAACCAATGTGGCTTGAACCAGTGACTCTGCAGTTTGTGGGCCAGGCCACTGTATCCTGGCTGTGCCATAAAGATCCAAAACCCTTGGCAGAGGCTGCAGTAGTCAAATAATGGGAGCCAGGGAACACACAGTCACACACAAACTCTTTCTGAGAGTTGGTGGTTCAGTTCACAGTTGAACACCTCAATCAGGTCTGAGAGTGGCACCCCTACCTGATAGCTTACCTATAGATGCATGTCAACCATCATCAAATATGCTTGCTATGTTACGAGATACACACAAGGCCGGTTCCAGGCCCAGAAATGGTCCAATAGCCAGATTACACATTAACAGAGTAGCTATAATATCATAGCAATAATATTATATAGTATAATATTGATTCAAAGTCATTTTCAACCTCTCCTTGTCCCAGTCTATAATCCCCACGTCTTAAAATGACTACTATCATTCCTGTTCCTAAGAACTCTAAGGCTTCATGCAACAATGACTACCGCCCTGTAGCACTCACATCTGTAATCATGAAGTGCTTTGAAAGGCTGGTTATGGAACATCAATTCCTAGACACTCTAGACCCACTCCAATTTGCATACCGCCCCAACAGATCCATAGATGACACAATCTCAATTGAACTCCACACTGCCCTCACCCACCTAGATAAGAGGAATACCTATGTGAAAATGCTATTCATTGACTACAGCTCAGCGTTCAACACGGGGGCCCCACAGGGGTGTGAGCTAAGTCCCCTCCTGTACTCCCTGTTCACCCACGACTGCGTGGCAACGCACGACTCCAACACCATCATCAAGTTTGCTGACGACACGACGGTGGTAGGCCTGATCACCGGCAACGATGAGACAGCCTAAAGGGTGTAGGTCAGTGACCTGGCAGTGTGGTGCCGGGACAACAACCTCTCCCTCAACGTCAGTAAGACCTTTATTTAACTAGGCAAGTCAGTGAAGAACAAATTCTTATTTACAATGACGGCCTACACCGGCCAAACCGGGATGACGCTGGGCCAATTGTGCGCCGCCCTATGGGACTCCCAATCACGGCCGGTTGTGATACAGCCTGGAATCGAACCAGGGGGTCTGTAGTGACGCCTCAAGCACTGAGATGCAGTGCCTTAGACCACTGCGCCACTCGGGTTTGGCAACAGCATCGCCCTCGATCGCATGGCGCTACAGAGGGTGGTGTGGACAGCCCAGTACATCTACTGGGCCCGAGCTCCCTGCCATACAGGACCTCTATAACTGGCAGTGTGAAAGGAAGGCCCGCACGGCAAGCGGTACCGGTGCATTAAGTCTGACACCAACAGGCTCCTGAGCAGCTTCTATCCCCAAGCCATAAGACTGCTAAATAGCTAACAAAATGGCTACACGGACTGACTTGCACTCACAGGACTCTACACACTCATGCACACTGACACTTCAACAACCACATAACATGCACACACATTTATACTGACTCTACACACACACACAATCACAATTTAAGCTGCTGCTACTCTGTTTATCATATATATTGATGCCTAGTCCCCTTACCCCTATACATACAGTGCCTTCAGAAAGTATTTTTAGTCCTTTAGCAGACGCTCATATCCAGAGCGACTTACAGGAGCAATTAGGGTTAAGTGCCTTGCTCAAGGGCACAGACAGATTTTTCACCTAGTCGGCTCAGGGATTAGAACCAGCGACCTTTCGGTTACTGGCACAACGCTCTTAACCACTGAGCTACCTGCCGCCTATGTATTCATAACCCTTGACTTATTCCACATTTTGTTGTGTTACAGCCTAATAATCTCACCCATCTGCACACAATACCTCATAATGACAAAGTGAAAACATGTTTAGAATTTATTTTGCTTAATGTGTTGAAAATTAAATACCTAATTTACACAAGTATTCACACCCCTGACTCAATACATGCTAGAATCACCTTTGGCAGCGATTACAGTTGTGAGTCTTTCTGGGTAAATCTCTAAGAGCTTTGCATACCAGGATTGTACAACATTTGCATAATTCTTCAATCTCTGTCAAATTGGTTGTCGATAATTGTTAAGCTATTTTCAAGTCTTGCCATAGATTTTCACGCCGGTTTAAGTCAAAACTGTAACTAGGCCACTCAGGAACATTCAATGTTGTCTTTGTAAGCAATTCCAGTGTATATTTGGCCTTGGGTTTTAGGTTATTGTCCTGCTGAAAGGTGAAATCATCTCCCAGTGTCTGGTGGAAAGCAGACTGAACCAGGTTTTCTTCTAGGATTTTGCCTGTGCTAACTCCATTAGATTTATTTTTCATCCTGAAAAACTCCCCAGTCCTTAACGATTACAAGCATATCATAACATGATGCAGCCACCCTTATGCTTCAAAATATGGAGTGGATACTCAGTAATGTGTTGTATTGAATTTGCCCCAAACATAACACTTTGTATTCAGGACAAAAAGTTTATTGCTTTGCCACATGCAGTATTATTTTAGTTCCATGTTTCAAACAGGATGCATGTTTTTGAATATTTTTATTTGGTCAATTAGGTAAAAATTGTGGAATAAGTACAATATTCTTGATCCATCCTCAGTTTTCTCCTATCACAGCCATTGAACTCTGTAACTGTTTTAAAGTCACCATTGGCCTCATGGTGAAATCACTAAGTGGTTTCCTTCCTCTCCGGCAACTGAGTTAGGAAGGATGCCTGTATCTTTGTAATAACTGGGTGTATTGATACACCATCCAACGCTGATTTAATAACTTCACCATGCTGAAAAGGGATATTCAATGTCTGCTTATTTTTCCATTTTTACCCATCTACCAACAGTTGTCATTCTTTGCGAGGCATTGGAAAACCTCCCTGGTCTTTGTGGTTGAATCTGTGTTTGAAATGCACTGCTCGACTGAGGGACCTTACAGATAATTGTATGTGTGGTGAACAGAGATGAGATAGTCATTCAAAAATCACGTTCAACACTATTATTGCACACCATGTCCATTCAATTTATAATGTGACTTGTTATGTAAATGTTTACTCCTGAACTTATTTAGGCTTGCCATAACAAAGGGGTTGCATACTTATTGACTCCAGACATTTCAGCTTTTCATTTAATTTGTTTTTTTAAAAAATCTAAAAACATTATTCTACTTTGACATTATGGGGTATTGCGTGTAGGCCAGTAACACAACATCTCAATTGTTTTTGTTCTACCTCCTTATATGTAGTGCTACATTGATATTGATTACTGAATTGTTGGGTTTGTCGCTTGCAAGAAAGCAATTTCACTGTACGTGACATGACAACTTGAAACTTGATACAATGCAAACACACAGCAGTGACATCCGGTGGAGAAAACAGCCCTAAACTCTGAAAAAGATGACAACAGATCAGACATCCACGTGACACACACTCCGATACTCTGTAGCCGAGTAGAAAAAAAGCATCGTTACATTGTTGCCAGATAATCTATTCACCCAGAAGTGTTTTACGTTATTATACATACAAGATAATATCCTTTACCGCAGCCTTTGTTGCCCAGGGCAGATGCTCTGGGATAATTATCATAAAACAGTAGCTACTGGGACACAATATTTTCACGTCACTTCAATACAAAGGGATTTTCGTAGCAAGTCAGGAAATAATATTCGCTAACCCTAACCATGTTCCTAACCTTAACCTCAGAATCATAACCTGGTACAAAAATAGTGACTTCTGTATCGAAGTGTCGTGAAAATAGTGTTTCCCCACTGGCTAGTCTTGCAAACGTGAAAGACTTTCACGCGACGCCATGAGACAATGTCGGAATCGAATGCCACCAACAGCTAGCTAAAAAAGAAAACAGCTAACTAGGTGGATAACCTGGTAAAACTAACTGCATAGCTAACTACCAGGATCTGAGTATCAGTAAAACTACCAAAAACAGATGCATGGGCCATTCCCCTCTCACTGTCAAACAATAGAGCATTATTAGCTGGCTATAGCGGGTTAAGATAATTAATGGCATTGGCAACAAAGCAAGCACTTCTAGTCAGGAGGCTAGTTAGCTAGCTGTTAGCTAGCACAATAAGGAGCCGTAATACATGGATGCGTGCCAAAAAGGAGCCAAATACAAAGGCACATCTTCCTAACAATAATCATAAAGACAATCCAACGTGCACACGCCAAATCATGCAATGCATGGCTGTGCATGTGTAGATTAAATTGGATATTACTTGAAAATAAGAGTGCATAAAGCTAAAGTAGAAAATAGTCATGTTTATGGTGTAACATGCTAGCTAATGGCTAGCTGACTGGTATGGCCACGATACGATAGTCGCGAGGCCTGACCAATTAGAATCCCAAATATTTGGAAATCCATGCATCCTGTAAATGACTGCACACGTTTGCCTGTCTATTATAATAAATTACACTATAGCTATCTCTGAGATAAAATAGCACACATTCCTGGTATTGAGAGAAAATTAGCATGTTTCGACTTCATCAAAAACCCTGTGACATACCTCCGACCCGGTACATGTTGGCGGCCATTTCTGCCCTCCCGGACTGTAAAAACACAAACCATAAACTAAACGAAAATAGAATGAATAAATAAAGAGATCAGTTGTTCAAGTCCTGTGGTCGGTTTTTAAAAAACGTTGAAGTTAGAAAGTGAGTTCGTGGGGGGGTTGAATGTGGAGTTGAGCGGGAGATGTTGGTGAGGTGCCCCCTATCTGCCTGCCTTCTCACAGTACAATACAGTAGTACTGGGCACACACACACAGCCGAAAGACTCGGATCAACCCGAAACCACAGGCTTCTAGTGGCGGTCCCGGGGGAGGGAACCAACGATTTATAATTTATATATAATAGGTGACGAATAGGAAGTGCTGTGATGAAGCCACCGTGTCTCCATGTTGGCACTCCCTCACCGTTGTAAAACATATTTTAGAAGCTATAGAAATTAATTTATTAATGTCTACATTCGTTTTTGCCACATTTATTCTATTACAGACACCTTAATGGTGCAATATGCAGAAATCTCTCCGCCATTTCCTGGTTGCAAAAATTCTAATAGTCCGCCTAATTTCAGTTTATGTGACAAAACAAGCAATCATTGTGTAGAGAATCATTGTACCATCTAAACCGCTTAGAACCGGTTAGAAGGATTACTTTATCCTATCCCAGGTGTTCCTTAAAGAGGTGGGGTTTCAAATGTCTCCGGAAGGTGGTGAGTGACTCCGCTGTCCTGGCGTTGTGAGGGAGCTTGTTCCACCATTGGGGTGCCAGAGCAGCGAACAGTTTTGACTGGGCTGAGCGGGAACTGTGCTTCAGCAGAGGTAGGGGAGCCAGCAGGCCAGAGGTGGATGAACGCAATGCCCTCGTTTGGGTGTAGGGACTGATCAGAGCCTGAAGGTACGGAGGTGCCGTTCCCCTCACAGCTCCGTAGGCAAGCACCATGGTCTTGTAGCAGATGCGAGCTTCAACTGGAAGCCAGTGGAGTGTGCGGAGGAGCGGGGTGACGTGAGAGAACTTGGGAAGGTTGAACACCAGACGGGCTGCGGCATTCTGGATGAGTTGGAGGGGTTTAATGGCACAGGCAGGGAGCCCAGCCAACAGCGAGTTGCAGTAATCCAGACGGGAGATGACAAGTGCCTGGATTAGGACCTGTGCCGCTTCCTGTGTAAAGCAGGGTCGTACTCTCCGAATGTTGTAGAGCATGAACCTACAGGATCGGGTCACCGCCTTGATGTTAGCGGAGAACGACAGGGTGTTGTCCAGGGTCACGCCAAGGCTCTTCGCACTCGCTTTTAATGAGAATTTAATGAGAATTAAAGATCTATAACTCACATTTCTATGGGAATTTGGTAGGTTCCCCAAAAAAATTATATATTGTGGCTTTAATGCATACTTTTAAATTATATTATGTGAGCTTTAAATAAAAACATTATAAACATATTTTCCTTAAAGTGTAATTTTTTGTGATTACTAATGTTACTGGCCCCACTACAACAACAACAACAAAATACTTTAATACATGTAATTTTGTCCCTGAAATATTTAGTTGAAATACTGTAGAATTACCAGGACGTGTACTCCGAGCATGTGCTGACCAACTGGCAAGTGTCTTCACTGACATTTTCAACATGTCCCTGACTGAGTCTGTAATACCAACATGTTTCAAGCAGACCACCATAGTCCCCGTGCCCAAGGACTCTAAGATAACCTGCCTAAATGACTACCGACCCCTAGCACTGACGTCTGTAGCCATGAAGTGCTTTGAAAGGCTGGTCATGGCTCACATCAACAGCATTATCCCAGAAACCCTAGACCCACTCCAATTTGCATACCGCCCCAACAGATCCACAGATGATGCAATCTCTATTGCACTCCACACTGCCCTTTCCCACCTGGACAGGAGGAACACCTACGTGAGAATGCTATTCATTGACTACAGCTCAGCATTCAACACCATAGTGCCCTCTAAGCTCATCACTAAGCTAAGGATCCTGGGACTAAACACCTCCCTCTGCAACTGGATCCTGGACTTCCTGACAGGCCGCCCCCAGGTGGTAAGGGTAGGTAACAACACATCTGCCACACTGATCCTCAACACGGGGGCCCCTCAGGGGTGCGTGCTCAGTCCCCTCCTGTACTCTCTGTTCACCCATGACTGCATGGCCAGGCACGACTCCAACACCATCATTAAGTTTGCCGACGACACAACAGTGGTAGGCCTGATCACCGACAACGATGAGACAGCCTATAGGGAGGAGGTCAGAGATCTGGCCGTGTGGTGCCAGGACAACAACCTCTCCCTCAACGTGACCAAGACAAAGGAGATGATTGTGGACTACAGGGGAAAAAATAGGACTGAGCACGCCCCCATTGTCATCGACGGGGCTGTAGTGGAACAGGTTGAGAGCTTCAAGTTCCTTGGTGTCCACATCACCAACAAACTATCATGGTCCAAACACACCAAGACAGTCGTGAAGAGGGCACGACAAAGCCTATTCCCCCTCAGGAGACTGAAAAGATTTGGCATGGGTCCTCAGATCCTCAAAAAATTCTACAGCTGCACCATCGAGAGCATCCTGACTGGTTGCATCACCGCCTGGTATGGCAACTGCTTGGCCTCCGACCGCAAGGCACTACAGAGGGTAGTGCGTACGGCCCAGTACATCACTGGGGCCAAGCTTCCTGCCATCCAGGACCTCTATACCAGGCGGTGTCAGAGGAAGGCCCTCAAAATTGTCAAAGACTCCAGCCACCCTAGTCATAGACTGTTCTCTCTGCTACCGCACGGCAAGCGGTACCGGAGTGCCAAGTCTAGGTCCAAAAGACTTCTCAACAGCTTCTACCCCCAAGCCATAAGACTCCTGAACAGCTAATCATGGCTACCCGGACTATTTGCACTGCAAACTATTTGCACCCATCCTTTTTACGCTGCTGCTACTCTGTTAATTATTTATGCATAGTCACTTTAACTCTACCCACATGTACATATTACCTCAACTACCTCAACTAGCCGGTGCCCCCGCACATTGACTCTGCAACGGTACCCCCCTGTATATATAGCCTCCCTACTGTCACTTTATTTTACTTCTGCTCTTTTTTTTCTCAACACTTTTTTTGTTGTTGTTTTATTTTAACTTTTTTTTGTTTAAAATAAATGCACTGTTGGTTAAGGGCTGTAAGTAAGCATTTCACTGTAATGTCTGCACCTGTTGTATTCGGCGCATGTGACCAATACAATTTGATTTGATTTGATTTGATTTGAATTCTATTAACTCCTATGGAGGACGGCTCCTACTGGGGAGTGCCATTATGGCCGACCAGTGGTTTCAAAGCCTCTTGATGGCCAAAACGTAGCATTAGCAATCCAGGGTTTATATACGTAACTTGAGGGAGCTAACCTAGGCCTACTGCGACTTGACACACAAGCACACACACGCGTACACAAACAAGCACACACACGCACATATCACTAAGAAAGCTTTGAAACCACTGGTCGGCCATAATGGCACTCCCCAGTAGGAGCCGTGGTCCTCTGTAACTCAGCTGGTAGAGCACGGCGCTTGTAACGTCGAGGTAGTGGGTTCGATCCCCGGGACCACCCATACACAAAAATGTATGCACGCGTGACTGTAAGTCGCTTTGGATAAAAGCGTCTGCTAAATGGCATATTATTATATTATAAGTAATTTGAGTTTTGTTACCGCATGCTGCGTCACCTTATAGCCTATTCTGCAGTTCCTCCAGGTTATCCTATAGAATTTCTTATATGTTGCTTTACTGCACTAGGTTACACAACAGTATGATACTGTATAAACTGAACATAGTAGATTACCGTAGAATGCACAGTACAATACCGTACATTTGTTTTACAGCACACTGTAAGACCTTTCTGTAATTTCAACAGTAAAGCATTGTAGAATGCACAGTAAAATACCGTAAATGTGTTTCACAGTATTAATTATAGTGCATTGTTGGAAAAATGTGTGCAAATGCACCATAACGTATGAAAAAATAAATGTATGCACTCACTAACTGTAAGTCGCTCTGGATAAGAGTGTCTGCTAAATGTCTAAAATGTAAAATGGATGCCAACCGCCGAAAAACCCCACTGAAGAAGAAGAACAAGAAGAAGAACAAGAAGAAGAAGAAAATGTGTGCAGGGAAAGAGTTTCTGTCTCATTAACATATTTTAAGGCGTGTCTTGTATAGTTGCAACCCTGAATGAGAATGTTTTTTTTATTTTTTTTATTTCACCTTTATTTAACCAGGTAAGCCAGTTGAGAACAAGTTCTCATTTACAACTGCGACCTGGCCAAGATAAAGCAAAGCAGTGCGATAAAAACAACAACACAGAGTTACATATGGGGTAAAAAAAACATAAGGTCATAAAATACAACAGAAAATATATATACAGTGTGTGCAAATGTAGCAAGTTATGTACCCCCATAGATGCAGTAATATACATTTACATTTACATCATTTAGCAGACGCTCTTATCCAGAGCAACTAATATACTGTATTTTAGGAATTCTACAAACCTTGTCCTGAAACTCTACATTAACTTACTGGACAATTGCTGCCAGAAATGTACTGTAATTCTGAATACAGTACCATAATGCATTTCTGGAGTGCCAAAAACCTTTTGAACACTAATTAGTGCATGTTATTGTTGTTTCTTAGACATTAACATATTTTGAGGCGTGCCTTGTAGGTGGCTATATTTGTTGCACCCGTTAGTGAGACTCCTGTACCAATTCAAGTGATATGTCGCGGTAGTTCCCTAGCTATTAAATGTATATAGGGAGCAGATCAGAGTGGTAGGGGGTCTTAAATATTTCAATGGTTGAAAATGTACCCATGTCCAGTCAAGCTGTTTTGCCCTTTAATCATGGCCAGTTTGGAAGCCATTTGATTATGCTTCTAGGAGTGCAAGTATTCCTTAATATCCTGTAATATGTGAATGCCTAGCGCCAACCCTTGTAATTACAATGAAATACTGTCGAAATAATTTTCTTACAAGCGAATAGCCACTTGGCCTGTATTGTACTGTGTTTCATTGCTCTGGCATCAAGTTACCGTGAATATCTCAGTAATATAATGGCACTATCCAGAGATAGTCAGAGATATATCATAAGATATCTTGTTTTAATTACAATTATTTTGAAGACCAATACATTAACTACAACAACATTTACAGTAACGGTTACAGAAACGTTTTACTTGCTATCACTGTGATGCACTGACAGTGCCCGCTAAATGACAAAAATGTAAATGTAAATGTAAAAATAAAAACTTGCAAAGAACACTTGGTCACATGTCGCTGCATGGGTAATTCCAGTAATATACTGTAAATTAGATTACAGTAACATTTGAGGTGACGTAAAATGGATTACCGTAAAATGGATTACAGTAGATGTACTGTAAAAATAATGACAGTAACTTACTGGCCAATTGCTACCAGTAAATTACTGTAAATTTAACAGGAAATGTTTTACAGTGTATATCTGTTCTAACCAACATGGGCTCCCGAGTGGCGCAGTGGTCTAAGGCACTGCATCTCAGTGCTTGAGGCGTCACTACAGACCCCCTGATTCAATTCCAGGATTTATTACAACCAGCCGTGATTGGGAGTCCCGTAGGGCGGCGCACAGCGTCGTCTGGGTTTGGCCGGTAAATAAGAATGTATTCTTAACTGACTTGCCTAGTTAAATAAAGGTTAAATAAAAACATAGCCCATAACACTTGCATTAACATAAAACATTTTTTAAACTATAGGCTGTCACTGCCAAGTAATCATTTCCAATGTAATTTGTGCTCTTTGTGTCTGTCTGTCTGTCTGTCTGTCTGTCTGTCTGTATGTCTGTATGTCTGTATGTCTGTATGTCTGTCTGTATGTCTGTCTGTCTGTCTGTCTGTGAGTCTGTGTGTGGGTGTGAAGTATAGGCTATAAGCTGTTCAAAAACGGCCCTATTTCATGTTCTGATCGCCTCTCGTTGGCAGCTCTATCCCAGACGTGTTACCATGGTGCGTAATGTTTATCTGGGCTGTGTGTGTGTGCGTGTGTGTGTGTGTGTTGAGGAAGGGAGAGATTTGTGACATCACAGAGAGGGAGAGGGGTGGAGGAAAGCGAGTGTTTGATGCACACGGAGCAGAGAGAGGAGAGGAGCAGTTTCCATCCCGCTCTGAGCGCAACCTGATTCATCAATCCATGGGAGCAGAGACATTACCCTTTTATCTATAGTGGAGGTCAGTTTGAGTCTATCTCCTGTCTTGTGCCAGGCGCTGGCAGTGCGTAAAACACAGAGGAGAGCCTGGAGTCAAGCAGTGCGCCAGGACGGATCCGGAGAACCCGGGTCTATACAGACAGTATAGGAAGTTTCTGCTCTGCCTGATGGTTACGTCCAGAGTGCTTTGGTTTGCTTGACTTTTGACCTCCATGGTTGGAGAGGAGATGGGACACCACCAGCCCTGAGGACCTTTCTGGATTGTGAGTGTACGGTTAGGCTACCGTGGGCCGGAGAGAGTGATGAAGTTCGGTAAGAAGAGTGTCTGCGTGCTAAATGTGGGGGGTACCCGGTACGCCTTCCCCCGCGAGGTGATCCGTGATTTCCCGCTACAGCGCGTGAGCCGCCTGCACGCCTGTGTCACGGAGAAAGAAGTCCTCGAGGTCTGCGACGACTACGACCAGGACAGCAATGAGTTCTTCTTCGACCGGCACGCGCAAGCCTTTGTCTTCATTATGCTCTATTTGCGTTCCGGGAAGCTCCGATTCGTCCCGGGAGTGTGCGCGCTCTCATTTTACAGCGAAATGCTGTACTGGGGGCTTGGGAGCGCGCATCTGGAGTTCTGTTGCCAGCGGAGACTAGACGACACCGGCTACTCCGAAGAGGACCTGATTATGCGCGCGGAGGACAACGAGTCCCTGAGCGAGGTGGAGGTGGAGAAAGGTGTGTGTGTGTCAGGGGCGTCATGCACCCATTATTTTAGAGGGGGCACAAAAACATGAGGATGGGGGGGAGTGGGTTTTTTGCATTTTTCAAACACCTGCAATCTAGTGTGTGTGTGTGTGCACTGGTATATTATGCCTAATTCTGTATTTAAAAAAAAGTATACTTTTCTGCATAGGTTATCTAAGCATACCTCTTTACCTTTTCAATTGTCATTTTAATTAATGATGCACATTGATTCATTAAGAACTATTATGGCTTGAGTTTAGTACAACACACTGGTATATAGTATCATGACCCAATAATTAAATACATTTTAGTCAATTGTGTATCTATTTATTGTTATTTGAGTTTTGAAAAGAACAATCTAAATGGCCGTCAATCTTTGCATGCATAAATCTGTCTATGAATTTCACAGTGGAAAATGTCTAGGAATTCATAGGCACTGAATTTGAATTAGCTGTCTATGAATTTCCAACTTCATAAAATTGCTAGGTGGCTAGTATTACAGAGAAACAACAAAACATTAGCATTTTATTTATTCATCAAGAAGGAGTCAATAGGCTACATATACTGAACAAAAATATAAACGCAACATGGAACAATTTCAACAATTTTACTGAGTTACAGGTCATATAAGGAAATCAGTCAATTGAAATAAATTCATTAGGCCCTAATCTATGGATTTCACATGACTGGGCAGGGGCGCAGCCATGGGTGGGCTTGGGAGCCAGTCCCACCCACTGGGGAGCCAGGCCCAGCAAAATCTGAATTAGTTTTTCCCCACGAAAAGGCTGGTCTCAGACAATGCTGCAGGTGAAGAAGCCCGATGTGGAGGTCCTGAGCTGGCGTGGTTGCATGTGGTCTGCGGTTGTGAGGCCGGTTGGACGTATTGCCAAATTCTCTAATACAACGTTGGAGGCAGCTTATGGTAGAGAAATTAACATTCAATTATCTGGCAACAGCTCTGGTGGACATTCCTGCAGTAAGCATGCCAATTGCACGCTCCCTCAAAACGTGTGTGACAATACTGCACATTTTAGAGTGGCATTTTATTGTCCCCAGCACAAGGTGCACTTGTGTAATGATCATGCTGTTTAATCAGCTTTTTTATATGCCACACCTGTCAGGTGGATGGATGATCTTGGCAAAGGAGAAATTCTCACTAACAGGGATGTAAACTAATTTGTGCACTACATTTGAGAGAAACAAGCTTTGTGTGCGTATAAGACATTTTTTGGGATCTTTTATTTCAGCTCATGAAACATGGGACCAACACTTTACATGTTGGGTTTATATTTTTGTTCAGTATAGCTTAATCAAATTAATTTACAAACATACCTCCATCACCAGCAGCTAAAATCAAATCCTGTGTGTGTTGCTTTACACTCTCTCTCCTCCACTGACAATACTGCACACACTAGAGTAGCATCCAGCCCAGGCATCTCTTTGCTCCTTGCACCTGGGAAAGAACCACTAACATCTGAAAAATAAACAAATAGGACAAATCTGAGGGGCCAAGTGCCTTTGTGCCCCCTATGGGCATGACGTCACTGTCTGTGTCTGTGTGTGTGTGTATATTTGTGTGTGTGTGTAGGATCGGGGTGGCTAGAGTGGATGCGTCGGACCTTTGAGGAACCGGGGTCATCGGTGGTGGCTCAACTCCTCGCTTTGCTATCCGTCATCTTCGTCATCATCTCCATGGTGATGCTGTGTATGAGCACGCTGCCAGATTGGGACACCGCCAAACACAACACAGTGGAGGAGCACAGGTACACACACACACACTCACAAACACGCACGCAAGCAGGGGTCATGGCATATCAGTCGAACTGGGGTGGGCTTAAGATTGATCTGTGACAATGAGCAACCGAATGCTGCGCCGCAGACAGCCATTGGCATTCATTTAAAACATTCATTATCCACACACAGAGACCTCTAATAACCTGGTAGCGAATCAATAAGCAATCAGACTTAGCTACAACATCAGGGGGATGTTTTGACTGGTTACATGAACACTAACAGACCTCTCTTCTTCTCTGTGTCCCTCCATTCCTTTCCCCTCTCCGTGTTTCTGTTTTTCAACCTGTTTCCTTTACACCTCCTTCTTATTACAGGATTGTGGAGGCGGTGTGTATCGGTTGGTTCACAGCGGAGTGTGTGGTGCGTTTCCTCGTGGCTAAGGTGTGTTATCTTCTTGGTTTTACACACTAAAATGGCCCGGCAGGTAGCTTAGTGGTTAAGAGCGTTTGTGCCAGTAACTGAAAGGTCGCTGGTTCTAATCCCTGAGCCGACTAGGTGAAAAATCTGTCGATGTGCCCTTGAGCAAGGCACTTAACCCTAGTCGCTCTGGATAAGAGCGTCTGCTAAATGACGTAAATGTAAAATATGAGGGTTCCTCAAGGGTCTTTTGGTAAGGGTGATGGTTCTATGTGGAACCATAATGTCTCAAAGAACACTTTGAGCTCTTCAATGGTTCTTTGCTCTTTTAGTGATAATTAAAATGTAGGGCGGCTCATTCGAATATTTTGGGGCGTGATTTACGTACAGCTCCTTTTTGTGCAACCGTGAGCGAGAGTGTCATTCCAGTTTATCTAGTGTGTTGTGTCATTACATCTGATTGTGGCTAGTGTTTTTGTTTTGTGAAAGATTTACATATGTCTTGTGTAATTTGAGAACAGTTGACTAAATCAGTCAGTGGTTCTCAAGGACCCCTAGATGATCCAGAGGTAGCTCATTTGATTCAACTTGTCAATTAACACAATAATTACACCTATGGAATTTTAAAAATATAATATGGCTGACCAGAATAAAAAACCCTGTATGGTTCTTCAAAAGGATCTACAAACAGCCTTTCAGATTGAGAAAGGTTTTTTATAGAAACATTCTCCATAAAAGTTCTATAAAGAACCATAAAAAAGGGTTCATATAGCCCCAAAAAGGGTTGTAACCATAGCGGAACCCTTTTAGAACCTTATGAGCATGGATTTTTATTGAACCTTAAAAAAAGGGTTCTATATAGTACCAAAAAGGGTTCCACTATGGTTACAAGTCAAATAACCCCTATCTGGTACTATTTAGAAGGGAAAAAATGGTGTGTGTATTATACATTCTGTTTCCTTATTTTTTCATTACATTAATTTTCTAACTCCAAAATCTAAATCGAATCCAGGACAAGCTGGTCTTCCTGTGTCGGCCGCTGAACCTGATCGACGTGGCGGCCATCACACCTTACTACGTCTCCATGGTGATGCCAGGCGGGGCAGGGGGGTTGTCAGGCGTCGCCGGGGTAACCCTGAGGGTTCTGAGGATGATGCGTGTGTTCTGGCTGGTGAAGCTGGCCAGACACTTCCTGGGCCTGCAGACTCTTGGGCTGACGCTACGCCGCTGTCGTCACGAGATGGCCACCCTCGCCATCTTCCTTACCGTTGCCACGGCAATATACAGCGCATTGGCTCAGCTGCTGGAGCACGGCCTCGACCCTGACCACCGTAACCTTGACGACCGCAGTAACAGAGGAGGAGACTACGCCAGCATCCCAGCTGCCGCCTGGTGGGCTGTCATCTCCATGACGACCGTTGGTTACGGTGACGTTTACCCAGTAACGGTTGGCGGGCGCATGCTGGGCGGGCTGTGTGTGGTCAGTGGCATCGTTCTTCTGGCGTTGCCAATCACCTTCATCTACCACAGCTTTGTCCAGTGTTACAACGAACTGAAGCTCCGCTCTGCTAGGTACACACACATTCACACACACTGAATACACACACACACACTGTTATCTTCTACAGCTTCGCCCAGCTGCCCAGTTGAACTGACCCCTTCGGCCCCTCCCCCTAAACATGGAACTTTAATTAACTAATATACTTTTGTACGTCCCTTGTGTCTCCACCAATACTGTGCCACAATCTGGACGCAGGGTAGATGACAGAAGACACACACACACACCACAAGTCCATGTTTGCATCGTATCCCCATGGTAACTACTTTCGCAGAGACATCTTTCCCATTTGTGTAGGTTTCAGTCTGAAATAAAAAGAGAGAGACAAAGAGAGGATGAGATAGCCTGACAGAGATGACAGAAACAGACAAAAGACAGTCGGCATGAGCTCAGGATAAAAGATCAACAGAGACTGTGTGTGTGTGTGTGTGTATGCATGTGTGAATTTCTATCCATTTTCACTTCGCAGACTACAAAGTGACAAATTATGTGTTTCTGGTCTCTATGGGCAACAGGTTTCTCGCCTAGTTCAGTTACTGTATGACTGTCAATCATAGCTGTGATGCTGCTGCTCACGCGCGCACACAAACATGCACACACACACACACATGCACACACGCACACGCACACACACACAAACACAAACACACAAACCAGACTGTTCAGATCATAGACTGTAGCTACAGAATTGTTAACAGGATATGTGATGCTCCATTAATTACAGATTGGCTAATGGAAAGCCACACAATGAAGTTTTCAACTAACCTGTTCTTGGAGATACAGCAAGGAAGATACTTTCTTTGTTCTCGATTCGGTAAAAAGTGTATCTTATAAATGTATGTGTCCAGTTGCAGGGTTTTTTCCAAAAACCAGAGAATATTCAGAAAGATATTAAATTAAATATAAAAAAAAAAAAATCCACGTTTTGTATTGAGTGAGAAATGCCTCTTGCATGTGACTAGATTTTTGTTTTGGTCGCACTGTGCGATGCGCTGTCGTCTACTTCTACACATGGCCGCGGCCGCGTCACATTAAAAATGACTAGTTCCTGCAAAGATGTTGGGAAATGCAAGCTGTCTGGCAGCTAAAATGGCGAGGGAACTCCTCACTCGGTGCAAAACATGAATTTAATATCTTTCTCAATATGCTCCAGTAAGAACAGGTTAGTTGAAAAATTCCTTGCGAGGCTTTCCATCAGCCAATCTGTAACGGGTATGGAGCATCACATATCCCATTAACAATTGTGTAGCTACATAGACCATAGTTTCAGACTGGACAGAAGTCTGCAGTTGATTGGCTGCCTGTGCCTGTGAGTCGCTGTGATTCTGAGAGGAGAAACATGTGAACCAAACACACACACACACTCCCTCTCATCCCCTGTTCATCCCTCTCTCACTCCCTCTCATCTGACTCTCTGCTTCCTCTTGCTGCCCCCTCTTCCCCCTTATGTAGCTGCACTGTTATTAATGCTTTACGATTGCCTTTTTAAATGCTTATAAATTGAACTCTCATTCAAGCATCCAACTTTATTGGCAAGCATTTCACAGTTGAAGAACATTCTTCGTTTTTGATAGGATGCATAGCTAGGTGCACTTATTATATCCTAATGTTTAATTGACAGTTAGTCTAATAAACTAATTATAAACCTTTATAAAGATAATCTAATTGTAAAGTGTTACCCTGTCTTCTTTGGTACTGTCACAGTTCCTTCCACCAATTTGGTGTCACAACTTCCGCCGAGGCTGCCCCCCCTCCTGGTTCGGGCAGGCTTCGGCGTTCATCGTCACCGGAGTACTAGCTACTGCCGATACCATTCTCATCACTCCACTTGTCATGTCTTGTCAATCACACACACCTGGTGCTCATTCCCCTAATTAGTATGTGTATAAGTGTTCCCTCTGTTCCCCTTGTCTTTGTGAGTGATTGTTTGTTGTGAGAGCGTGTAGCTCGGTTGAGCTACTATTCACTGTGTTTATGCCAAGGTGGATGTTTTCCCTTGTAATAGTTTCGTTTGACGCTTGGGGCGTTTGATTTATGTAAATGGAATAAACTCTGGACTTCGGTGTTTTACCTCCTGCGCCTGACTCCTTCATTCACACCTCGTCACAGAATCACTCACCTGATCTGATATGGAGTCAGCAGGAGAAGACCGCATGCCTGGAGTTGTGGCAAGGGCCAGGACCATTCCTCGATGTTGGCCAGCATGGGGGAAGCGATGGATCGGGTACTTCAGGTGGTAGAACGCCTGGAGAGGAGAGGATCCGATCTATCTAGACCAGCTGGTCAACCGGATCCAGCCACCTACACCCCAGCCCCTGGAGGGATCCAGATATCCCGGCCACCGGCATTTGATGGGATGGCAGCGCGATGTAAGGGATTCCTACTCCAACTGGAGTTGTATTTCTCCAGCATCAGGCCGGAGCCCCGGGAGCGGGAGAAGGTATCCGTCCTCGTTTCCTGCCTTTGTGGGAGAGCTCTGGAGTAGGCCAACGCGGTGTGGAACGAGGGAGGTACCGCGTTGGAGGACTACAGGGAGTTTGCTCTCCTCTTTCGGGCCGTTTTTGATCACCCGCCTGAGGGTCGAGAGGCGGGCAAACGACTGGTTCATCTGAGGCAGGGGACGAGGACCGCTCAGGACTACGTGCTGGAGTTCCGGACGCTGGCAGTGGGGTCCGGGTGGAACGAGCGGGCCCTGATCGACCATTTCCGGTGCCACCTAAGGGAGGATGTTCGACAGGAGCTAGCCTGCCGGGATACATGCTATCGTTCTCCCAACTGGTGGACATGGCCATCCGGCTGGACAATCTGCTAGCAGCCAGAGGATGTCCTGGTAGGGGTCTGCCCGTTCCCACTCCGGACGACTCTGACCCCGAGCAGATGGAGCTGGGGGGAGCCGCTGGTCGAGAGAGCGCAGGAGGACAGCGACAGTGCCACTCTGGTGGCACGAAGGGACAATCCACCTCACGTCGCAGTCAACATTCTTTTGGGTCTGGAGGCGGTAGGCAGGGTACTCACGCATCACCCCAGGTAACGAACACCCAAATGGTTCAGAGCCCTTTGCGGCGCACTGTACTTTATCTATCTCCTTTCCCGATCACTTGGTAGGTTCCCAGTGTAAGATGCTAGTCGATTCAGGCGCAGCTGGTAATTTTATGGACAGGGCATTTGCACGCCGTCAAGGCATTTCATTGGTTCCCCTAACCATTCCACTCCCCATCAGAGCACTTGATAGTCGACCATTAGGGTTCGGGTTGGTTAAGGAAGGTACCATGTATGCACTCACTAACTGTAAGTCGCTCTGGATAAGAGCGTCTGCTAAATGACTAAAATGTAAAATGTAAATGTAATGATTATTGAGTCTCCTGCTTACTCTGTAGTCTTGGGTATCCCGTGGTTAGCCCTTCACAACCCCAATTTCTCATGGCCGCAGAGGGTTCTTACGCGGTGGTCGCGTGAGTGTCCGGGTAGGTGTCTAGGTGTTTCCGTTGGTGCGACCATGGTGGAAAGTCCAGACGGTACCCCCACCGTGCGCATTCTCCCCGAATACCATGATCTGGCGCTCACGTTTTCCAAGACGCAAGCGACTAAATTACCACCTCATCAGGAGGGGGATTGTGCGATAAACCTTTGGGTAGACGCTGTACCTCCCAGGAGTCATGTGTATCCCCTGTCGCAGGCTGAAACGGAAGCTATGGAAACATACGTCACTGAGTCCCTGCGCCAAGGGTATATACGTCCCTCCACTTCACCTGCCTCCTCGAGTTTCTTCTTTGTGAAGTAGAAAGATGGCAGTTTACGCCCGTGCATTGATTATCGACCACTGAATAATGTGACGGTACGATTTAGTTATCCTCTTCCCCTCATTCCTTCAGTGATTGAGTCAATGCATGGGGCCCGCTTTTTCACCAAATTAGACCTCAGGAGTGCTTACAACCTGGTGCATATTCGGGTAGGGGATGAGTGGAAAACAGCATTCAGCACAACCTCGGGGCATTATGAATACCTGGTGATGCCCTACGGTTTGATGAATGCTCCATCTGTTTTCCAGTCCTTTGTGAACGAGGTGTTTCGGGACATGCTTGGTCGCGGTGTGGTGGTCTACATCGATGACATCCTGGTGTATTCCGCTACGCGCGTCGAGTATGTGTCCCTGGTTCGCAAGGTACTGGTCTGACTGCTGGAAAATTATCTTTATGCCAAGGCAGAGAAGTGTGAGTTTTTCCATCAGTCAATCTCCTTCCTCTGATATCACATTACCACCACAGGTGTGGAGATGGAGGGGGACCGCATTACAGCCGTGCATAATTGGCCGACTCCAACCACGGTAAAGGAGGTGCAGCGCTTCCTTGGCTTTGCCAACTACTATCAAAGGTTTATTCAGGGCTTTGGCAAGGTCTGGAGGTGGATGCATCCGAGGTAGGGATAGGAGCTGTCTTATCCCAACGCTAATACACGCCAACCAAGCTCCGCTCCTGTGCCTTCTTTTCTAAGAAGCTCGGTAGAGCAGAACTACGGCGTTGGTGATCGGGAGCTGCTGGCTGTTGTCCGAGCTTTGACGGTGTGGAGACATTGGCTCGAAGGTGGCGAAACACCCTTTCCTCGTCTGGACAGACCACCATAACCTGGAGTACATTCGGGCAGCAAGGAGGCTGAATCCTCACCAGGCCAGGTGAGCCCTCTTCTTCACCCGGTTTGATTTCACACTCTCATACATTCCGGGTACGAAAAACGTGTTGTCTCGCTGTATGACACAGAGGAGAGGCCCAGAGACAACACCCCCATACTCCCGGCCTCATGCATTGTGGTGCCGGTAGTATGGCGATGGACGCAGATATAGCGCAGGCATTACATCTCCACCGCAGTGTCCAGCTGGGCTGCAGTACGTGCCTGCGCTTATCCGTGATCGTCTGATCTACTGGGCACACACGTCACCATCCTCTGGTCATCCAGGTATCGGTCGTACAATGCACTGCCTGACCGAGAAGTACTGGTGGCCTACCTTGGCTAAGGACGTGAGGGTGTATGTTTCATCATGC